GGGGGCGCGTTTTGAGCTGGACGTGGATGTGCGGGACAAACCGGCACGATTATTGCGACGAGAACCGGGTGCGAGGTGAATGCGATAACTTGATTTGTTGTTGAGCATTTAGTTATCAAAAAGAAACATGTGGATACTGACTGCTGTTGCAAGTTATCCTGCCTCGAGCACCTCGTCTCGCATCCCGGAAACGGACACTTGTGGTTCCTCTCCCCCGTATGGACGCGATTGTGTCGTGCCAAATGACCGCTGGTCGTGAAGGCACGGTCGCATGTCGCACAAACATGCCGCTTCCTGGAAGGGGACAGGGTAGGGGCAGTCAATGTTGGTGACGGTGAGGGCGACTGGTATGGCTGGGAGTCAGCCCTGGGGATCTTGGTGGACTCTGCTCTAGGCATCACGGAGGCCCTGCAAGCTGGGGGAAGGGAGTCAGGATGAAGTTGGGGGGTTGAAAAGACGCGTTTATGTTGCTGTACGTAAATCACAATTTGTTTTCTCTGAAATACAAATAGAAATTATTGTCATCAATAACTGAAGGACGCACCTAGCTGCTGCTCCGTCGCTTTCGGGCCCGTATCCGCTACCGAATATTCTGGATATACCTCATCTATCCCCATCGACGAGCACACTCGACAGGCGCCGCCAGTAGACTCTTTTATTTGGTTTTTATTTCTACGGCTTCTCCAGGCACAACAGAAAAACGTAATCCGCCCTTCTTCCGAATCACCGAGTCATGATAAGCGTCGCTGTTGGATCATCCAGCAGGGTCTCCTAGTTCATTCAGGTTGCAACAGGTTGCCCAACTCTGGCCCACCTGATGATTCGCACCGCATTCTTCTCCGTTATTACGGTGGACCGTGCAATCATCATGCAAAGGGGGGCGTTGCATGTTTTTCCATCCACTAAGCCCTTTCTGGAGACCAATTTCATTTTCTATCCGCCGCCGGCTCAAATCGCGTCTCCCATCCTACTCCCTACAGCGATCTAACGAACCTGTATCGTCGCCTTAAAACGGTCTTTGCATAGTGAAGAAAATGTCTATAGGTCTCGATACCTGTATAACCCTCAAGTCCGACTCAGAGGACGATTCGCATTGGGACCGGCTCTTCCATCTGTTTCATTGTGCTGAAAGGAGCATTCTACTGATGGCGGCCTTGCCCCGTGAACCCGGCAAGTGCTCAACCGACAGTCTAGGCTACGTCAAGAGTCCAAGGCCTCGGTTCGTACGTTATCCTCCTAGCCGCACAGTCATAAAAAGTGAGATTCACACGAAATCTTACAGAAAACAATCCTCTTCACCTGTCTCTCCTCCCTTCGCGTCGACCCTGCCTTTTCCCGAGCCCTGATTATCGTACCCTGACCAGATCTTCTTATCGTGACTCTCCCGGTTCACTCGGCCCCATTCAATGTCGTCCTGAGCGTATCACTATTGTTATCGTTGATACACGAACTTGATCATTCGTCGAACAATGGCCCACATTCATGTACAAAGACGAGATGTCCGTCTCTTTCAAGATAGACGCTAACTAAATCTAGGATCTGAGCCAGACATCAGACCTTTCATCCAGACACACAGACTGCCCATACCTCAATGAAATCGTAATAATAAACATGTCTGCATTCCCACTGTCCACCTACTACTTCTCTGTTGAACATTGTACACTGTTGTTTCCTCACGTACATGATAGTTGCGAAACATCATGACGTCCGAAAGCGTTACCTCCAGGGATGCGATTGCAGCGGTGTCCGCATTACCATCGATTCCCACACTGCAAAGTCGGCAGTCTTCCATCATTTTCGGTGTACATATGAAAAAATCTCCATCCAGGCTCGGCAGCACTTCTTATTTCCGCATAAAACTACAAATTCATCATCAGTTAAGGAATCCCAGGCAAGAAAACCTATGGTTTTCGCAAACATGCTCCAAGATGCTCTGGAATCGATTCATGGCGGTCTGACCTCGTGCATGTAAGACCGCCGACAAGAGCATGGAATCGGCACAAACGGGCAAAGCCCCTCGTACTAGTATTGGATTGACCTCACCTTCCCGAGCCGAGAGGTAAGGGAGCCAACATTCAGAGTCTCCAACGTCGACATCAGACTAATAGACTTTGTATGGATGCAGAAAGAAGACCACTCTGATTTTACTCCCGGCTTCCCTAGGTCAGAAGAGGACTCGGTGGACAAACCTTAGGACTTCAGAACGTCGAAATATGTCTCAAGCGTCATGGCAAGATGCGAATTAAATATATTAGGTTAGTTATATCCCTTCGTTTAGCTTCTACACAGCAAGGTCAGTGAAGGAAGATAACCTGGGTAAAAATCAAAGCTCACGTTAGCTTAGCCGTCTGACCCTCTGTCACTGCTTCTAGACCACTAAACTCTTCAGCGACAACTCTATCGCTCAGCCGATCAGCGGCCAGTGGCCCCTGCATCCCGCCCATCCGATTACACGCTGCCTTAGCGTCACCGTGAAACCGCATTGGCAGCCCCACCTGCTCGTCAATCAGCAGATGAGGTAGCAGTCGCGTATGGAAAACACGATGTGCCGTTGATGCGCCCTACCTTCATATCAGCCCATAACTAATAAAAACCAAAGTCTGACGCACAAACTGCCTGAAAACCCCACCAACCACGGCACTGACGGTGTCCCCCTGCACCTTCCAGAGACCAAGACTGGAGCTTGGCCCTTCTACAGATCCAAATTTTGGCACAGCAGGAACCCATCGCATAATACTCCCGACCCTCCATTCCCTCCCGACGTGCTCCCCCAACAAATAGCTATTCAACGTCCGTGCGACGATCACCTCCAAGTCATCCGATGGCTGTAGCTCAGGCGAAACACTGAGAAGAAGAAGAAGATATGTCTCGAGTGTACGTCGACCTGTCCGTCCAGTGAATAACATGAGCATTTCTACAAAATAAAATCAGACGCACCGATGAAACTGAGCCCACTATTGTGTCCTTGCGCAGCAGCAGGATGGCTCGAATGTGTAAGTATCCGCTGCGCCAGCTCAGGAGGGAATGCAAGACCAGGAAAGAGAGAATCAAGATGAGAGCTGAACGGATTTTTGGGCGAGGTTGGCGCTGGCCGACGTCTAGGCTTTTGTGGTTGTTTCTGGGACGTGGAGAGTTTTTGTTGGCTAGCTGTGTGAGGAATACTGTAGTCACCCTCGTCAGCGTCATCAACATACACTTCCCTCCGAGGCGCGTTTGTCTCATGAGAAGTCGGTTTTCTCAGCATTGCCGCTGCCGGGCTGTACAGTCTCCGTCCAGACACATTGCCACCTGACTGCCGCGCATAGAAGGAAGAAGGGTTTGTACAACGTCGCGGACAAAGAGACATTCAAGCGCGTCGTCGGAAACGTCGTCGACGAGCCGATTTTTTTGGAGTCGGTTGTGGAGGAGAGAAAAAAGTAATTTTGTCACGTGTTGAGTCGCGTGACAGTACTCTTGAGTTTTCAGAAATTTTCTCAATCAGTATCCATTATTCACCAAGCACAAACAATATTCTATCATGTAGCTGTTCCAAAAATCTGGTATCTCCTGCAAATACTTGGTCCAATCTCATCATACTGTGCTTTCGTGTGACAAGAGGTGTAGAACTCCGGCTACAGACAAGCATTAGTACGTCGGTGGTTTCAAGAGTGGATATCGTACCAGAGATGCCAATAAAGAGCCGCCAAACCATACAGCATACCTAGCGCACCAATGTCAAAACCGAATCTAGAGCTAGAGAGGTCCTAATACACACCTTTGTCGTTTATGAGAGATAACATCGACTTCCACACCGGAAGACTACGCCAAATAAGAATCATCTGCAACATAAAGGCTATGCGCACCTTTAAAACGCTCCCGCTAGCTAAGACACTCTCATCCAAGCGTCGATCAACGAGTAGCTTCAGATCACGCTTCAAACGATTTCCAAAGTGCTGGAACATCGTCGATCCACCGGAAAGTACGATATTCTGGTCGGCGTTTGTGATCTAGCACTGCGACACACGCTATGAATCTGACCTTGTATAAACCTCGACGGACGTCGATGGGAGATTGCTGGATGACATCGTCGACGATCTCCGGTAAGGGGGTCAAAAAGTCCGAAGAGAATATTTCAGGGTTGAAGAAGATTTCGGGCGCAAGGAAACGTTCGTAACCGACGTCGATGCCATATTTCTATACTGTAGAGTCAGAGGGTGTAAGCAATAGCACATACATTACATACCCTTCCAGTGACACTATGTTCACCATCATACCTCTCAAAATACTTGTATGGCTCCGCGTCGTATTTTCGGAATTCCTTGACGATATCCTGGCACACGTAACTGTACGACTCTTTCACCTTCCCCGCGACCTTGAGCTGATCCTCCGGAGGGACAGTAGCCATCTCTCCCCGCTCCCGAAGGAGATTCAACACGAACTGTGAGATGTCCCTTCCTGCAATAGGGATATGCTTGATAGCACTTCCGATGACATATCCTTCGGCACAAGGAATAACGTGAGTAACGCCATCTCCAGAATCAATGACGGTACCAGTAAGAGTACGATCTGTGACCCGGTTGGACGTCCAGGACGCGGCGAGGGCGAGCACAGCCTGCACAGCTATATACAAACCCTTGATATTGAATGATTCAAAGAAGATTTCGGCAGTTTGTTCGCGATTTTCTGGAGCATTGAGCGGAGGTTCAGTCTATCTCTGGTTTTAAGCATCTACTAGGACGCGGATGTCTAACTGTAGTGACTCACTAGAAGGAAATGGTGATCTTCTGGCTCGGCCCTGAGATATTTGAAGATGGTCTGCTCCCAGTAACGCTCCATGTAGTCCCAGTTGTCTATCATGCCGTGACGAATAGGATAATGGACACTATATCCAGGCGTCTTTGCATTTGCTAGGGCTTCGTCGCCGATGAAGAAGTCGAGATCTTCAACACCACGCTTCGATGCAAGATGGCCGGGTTTAGACGGAACAGCTGGTGCACGAGACGATTGAGCAGCAGTACCACGAGTAGCAATCGCAGTCGGGAATACACTGCAGAGTTGCGCGTCTCAGCAGTGTAAATAGATGCCGCATGGTACTCACAAGGAAGGATCAGAGTTTCCGGCAAACCTTGCATCCAGATTATTGTAAGCAACCCATGAATACAGAGAGGTAACACATTCACCCTATTTTCGAGTACCCTGTCCCATTATCACATATAATGGGCGCTAGGTTGGACATGATAGTAGATGGCAAGACAGAAGTGTATCCGTAGTAGTGGCTGCAAAGTGGTCAGGTCAAGCACAGACAAACATATCAGCCAACCGGGCCGGGTGATGTCGTTCTTCGATGTATACCGCGATGAACGCCGTCTTCCGAGCACGATGGACACGGTCATTTTCCACGTCCAGGTCAAGGTCAAACCGTGCTGTCGTGTATACTCAGAACGGGAATCCAGCGGAGGTCCTCAGCGCTATGACTTTTCCCAAGCTGGATCCCCCGAGGCCATCCACCGTCAATGTCAAGTTCCTGCTCTCACCAATCAACCCTGCTGATATCAATGTCGTCGAGGGCGTCTACCCCGCAAAGCCCCAGCCCGTGCAGGGAATATGGTCCGAAGATGTATACATCGGAGGAAATGAAGGGCTGGCCATTGTAACAGCAATCGGCGAAGGCGTCGACTCTGTGAAACCCAGAGATTGGGTCATTTTGACAAAGGCTCAGGCTGGCACCTGGACTGCAGTAAAGAACATTTCGGCTGAAGAGATCGTCAAGATACCCAACCCTGAAGGACTCAGTGAAGTCCATGGGGCTACTATGACAGTGCGCGAGTTATCAAGGTTCTGGTTCCTTTGGTTCCTTCTAATCTCTCCCAGGTCAACCCTCCTACAGCATACAATATGCTTAATGAGTTCGTTGGTCTCAAACCTGGCGACTGGGTCATCCAGAATGGCGCTAATAGTGCTGTCAGTACCACTTTTCGTGCTGCTTTTCGTGCTCATATCTTGACGTAGGTAGGTCAAGCAGCCATTCAAATAGCGGCTGCTCAAGGATTGAAAACAATCAACTTTGTCCGTAACCGGTATGTTTCATGCTACCTCTTGGTTGTCAATCTGACAAAGCCTCAGAGATGACATTGTCGATCTAGTACAGAGACTGGAAGCCTTGGGAGCAAACAAGGTGTTCACCTATGACGACCTCAAAGACCGAGAGTTCCGTAAAAAGATCTCAATCCTGACTGGAAACATGGTACGTGTCTACTGTTAATGTCTGACCTAGTTTTCAACGCAACACTGCAGGAAATCCGCTTGGGACTCAACTGTGTTGGTGTGTATCAAGATTTACCTGCTTGATCAGTCATTCAATGTTTCTCTCAGGCGGCCCTGAGACGACGCAAATGACAAAACTCTTGGGCAACGATGCCCATTTGGTATCCTATGGCGCAATGTCGAAGCAACCACTGTCATTCCCGACATCTCTGTTCATTTTCAAGAATCTCACAGCCCACGGTTTCTGGCAACACGGCTGGTATCAACGACGGAGTCATCTAGATCGCGAAAATTTAATGCGCAAGTTAGTTGACTTGACGCTTCAAGGCAAGGTATGTGCGAGCCATCATTGTCTGGCATCAGATATTCAAAAAAAAGCATAGCTCAAGGAGCCTGAGCATGAAATAGTAACCGTTCCCGCTTATGAATCTGATGAAGAAGCGACCATGAGAATCAGGAACATTTTCAAGACAGCGCAGAGCTACGGAAAGAAAATCTTACTCAAGCTAGAGTGTTCTTCATAGTTCCACAGGATAGAATGGAAATTAAAACGATATCTATCCTTATTATAAACAATGCTACCGCATTTGTCTGTCTTCGAAGAAATGCTGCAGAAATTTGACATCAGAATGAAGGGAGACCAGTATGAGACGCAGAACGCCCACCTTGAGATGTCGCAGCTGCCATGCACAAGTAAGAATTAAGACCATGATCTGAGCCACACTGTACCATACGGCCCGCGCATTGGTCGCCTCGCTAAGATTTCTGTAATCCGCCTCCCGCTCCCGCTGATACTGCTGCTCCCGTCGGATATCCTCCAGTTTTTGGTTCAAGTCACGAACTTTTGCTGCAAGCTCGGAGACATGCGATCTATCTTGCTCTATGTTGCCCTTAGTATTGCCGACGACGATGTCAAGGTAAAGGCGAATGTGGGTACTGGAGAACCAGGATGTGTAGTTGGTCGAGAGACAAATCGAATGGTCTCCGGCATCGTGAGACGTGAATGTGAAGCGACCTTCGGATGGGCCTTTTGTTCTGACAACGGATTCACCGCTTTCTACTTCCTAAATAAAGAGGATGAATACGTGTTCGGTATATAATAACTTGAGATGAGTACATCGACATCAACGTGTATTCCAAGTTTGTCGTCAGATATGTATGTCTGCTGGGGCTCTGACCATTCGAGGGCACGGTAATGACCTGGAAAGCAGTGAGAAACCAACGACGAGAATGAAGAAAACACGTTACCCTCGACGACGGTGTCCGTTGGCAGCTCTTCAATGAAACAGCGCTTTTCGTTGGCATCGAGATAGAAATGGAGAGCATTGGCGAGAACAAAGGAGAGCGAAAGAAAGCAGAGCGAGAGGAACGGATGGCGACGCATGGTCGAGGAAGACAAGCAGGTTACAGACTGTGACATTGTGACAGGGTTCCTGGTTGTCTCCTACGATGATGGCGTACTACTCCCGCCCTTCGTACGCCGCCGAGACCCCTCCGCCAGCGAATATCGCTCATCCCGTTCCTCACCAGTCCGTTGCGCCCTATCTTCCCAATGCGAGCACTCTCAGCAGCATCCCCGCTCACCTCTCCACATATGAAGACGGCAAAATCTACGCTCTGGTCATTGAGCTCATGGACCCAATGACGAGAGAAGGAGCGTTGCTTGAGCTCAGCAAGAAGAGAGAGCAGTACGATGACTTGGCCTTAGTATTGTGGCATTCCTTCGGTGCGCTGCTTGTTCGCTAGGACACTCAACTTACGCCAATTTCCCGCCTCAGGTATCATGCCAGCCTTGCTGCAGGAAATTGTCTCTGTATACCCACTACTTTCGCCACCAAATCTCACTGCTCATGTCTCTAACCGAGTCTGCAATGCTCTTGCCTTGCTGCAATGTGTCGCCTCCCATACGGACACACGTCAACTCTTCTTGAATGGTCCGTGCATTTTTATTTGATGCGACACGGACTAATGCTTTCCTTTGCATAGCGCATATACCTCTTTTCCTATATCCATTCTTGAATACCACCTCCAAAACGCGCCCATTCGAATATCTTCGGCTTACTTCTCTTGGTGTTATTGGGGCACTTGTCAAGGTGAGCCCTTTTCCGTTCATTTGCAACCATTGTGATCTCATGTTCATCAGCAAAACGACAACAACACCGTCATACATTTTTTGTTATCTACCGAAATTATCCCTCTTTGCCTGCGCATCATGGAAACTGGCTCCGAACTGTCGAAAACAGTGGCTATTTTTATCGTCCAAAAGATCCTCCTCGACGAAACTGGCCTAACCTACATATGCCATACCTACGAGCGCTTCTATGCTGTTGGAACGGTTCTTAGCAACATGGTCAGCCAACTTGTCGAGACCCAGGCTGTTCGACTGCTCAAACATGTTGTTCGGTGTTACCTCCGCCTTAGCGACAATTTACGGGCACGGGAGGCTTTGAGAGCTTGTCTACCAGAGCCTCTGAGGGATCAAACCTTCAATACCCTTCTCAAGGTCGGCTTTCTATTCTTCTTCTGAACACTTGCTGATCCCATTTCTCTCAGGGAGACATGGTGACGAAGAGATGTTTGACGACCTTGCTTAACAATCTGAATGAACCATAATGCACTTTGCTTATTTCACTTATTTCCGTCATCTATATATTGCTAGCTTCGAGGCAACAGTGTCATATTTGTAGTACACATCAAAATATTGTATAATAATTGTTGAATAGCCAGTTTTCGGCAATGGAAGTAGATTATCGTATCTGACCAAGGGACTCGAGAAGGGACACTGCACATCATGAGACAAAACACGGACCGGTACCTTTGCTACGAAGCAGTCTGGCTCTTAGATCTCAAGAGAATCAGTATGATGTTAAATACTGTGCGTTACATCCAGGGGCAACATGATTGACACTATTCTATGACCAAACAAAACGGGAGCTACAACGATGTAGGCTTACTATCTTTTTGTGCTTGATACAGTCAATGCAGGTTACGAGTACCCAAAGACGAGCAAGACTCACCCATTGTAATCCGATCACCCAATGAGAGAGCTATACCCTGCGTCTTGCTACGGATCCTTACATGGCCTGTAATGGTACCTGCCTCCGTTCGTTCAATGCTTAAATTGGCCAGCGCATCCTCGCCTATAGACCGAGAATCAGCAATGCAACCACGTCCCTTTCAGGATTGATACTTACCAAACAGGCTTCTTGCATACATATTTGCGGACAGGAAATCACATTCTCCTGAAAGGGCGCCTTCAGGCGTCAAACACGACATATTTGTGGCTTTCATGACATGCTTGAGATACTCTCTCGGGTCACTAGAGAATGAGTTCGTGAGTCCTCCAGCGACACGAACTTTCCCCAACACATACGACATAGAATTGTTGACGTTAACCCGATTCTCCCATTCGAATTCGGTCCACATACTGCGGAACTGCGGATGAACTGAGTACTAGCTTAATCTGAAAGCTGCAATGGCTTACCTGTGCCTCACTGCAGTAAGCAGGTTTGATATAGTCCATGATATCGATATGGATGTCGTTGAGAATGACACAGGCCTCTGACATATTGTGGCCTTCCCAAAGTATACTTCCGAAAATAACACCGGTCTCCGTCGATGACACCTGGTGACTACTGTGAAGTTCATTCTCGAGAATGATAAGGAGAATAAACCTTTATAGTAGCTTTGATACTCTGGAATCCATGTGGGCCAATAGTGAAAACTGACGGCCTTTCGACGATTTTGAGATCACCCAGAGTAGCAAAATCCAGGCAAAGGTTCTGCAGTGTGTTCGGTGTCTGATTAACTAGAAGCACATCTTATTTGCACCAAAACAAATTAGTGCATTGCGGTACACAATATGGTAAACGCTCACCAAGCATGATATCAAAGCCGTGCATTTTGACATATGCTTCAGCGTATATTGGATCGGAGAATCCTGGCAAGATGCATTAACAGCCAGTTGTCCAAAACGTTAAGGACGTTACCAGTAAGCTGAGCAATTCGGCTAAGATTCGAAATGAAGTCGTCTTGTATTTCGCCCGAGCCTGTAGCACGACCGACATCCTCATCATCCTGTATGACAGAGTGAATACTTATGAATTAAGATACGGAGACATGCTCACATCAATGGCATCATCAGTGGTCTTCTTGGAGAACTGTCTGAAGGTTAGCAGATCGTCAACTTGGACAACTGCCGCCTTCGTCGCCTCTGTTTCCTTCTTCTCAACAGCTCGCTTCTAAAGAAAGGTTCAGGGTTCGCCTCCGTTAGAGTAAGATTGAAAAGAGACCTCTTGAGCGGTGAGCATCTTGGAGAAGGCAATTTTAGAATCGTTGAGGAAGACTTCGTGGACCACGGGCTGTGCCCGAAGCTCGCTGAGAGTTTGTATACAATTCATTATACGCTCGTTGGAGTCTTCATCGATTTGAACTGTGACAAACTTAGATTGGCCAACACGAATGATTGAAGTCATTATCAGCATTGCCTTAAAAGACGTTAATCAAAAGGCTCAGAGTATAACTAAGAAAGCATACCTCGGCGCGTAACGAGTTGGAGGCAAGGGCATCTTTATTCAGATAGTCGAAACGAAGGGCAAGTTTACAAAGGGCCACAGCCAAGACTGCTCCGGTAAAGAAATCACCCCCTAGGATAAGTGCTATTTGCAGCATTAGCCAAGCACGAAAATCAAGTCGAGTATTGCTTACTTCGCAAGGGAGGCTTAGCAGCAGACTTAACAGCTTCCAAACGAGATGCGCCTGTAGTTGAGAATGCTGTTTCTGTAGCATATGTTCCGTCTGCCAATATTTTCGGTCGGCCAATAACTTCAGCCTTTTCTCCCTTCTCCGTCTCGTGATCCTCTCCGCCTGCTTCATCTAGCAGTCGTTGCTCTGAGGCGAGAATAGGGATCTCGCCCAGTACTTTCCTCACAACTTGCATTGTCTCCTGGATGTCGACTGCTGTCTCGACGTATTCGCCCAAAATCCATAGCACTCCACGGAAAACCTTCCCAGACTTGATTTCTGGTAGGGTTTGTATCAATCTTTCGCAGATAGTCGCTCTGAGGTTGGGGAATTTCTCCACAACTTCACGCACAAAGGCAACAACGTCGAGAGCAGAGGGGTTACTTGTGTCGCCGAGGAATTCCATCAGAGCATGTACAACGCTGGCTGCAACCTCGGAGAACTTGATAGCTGTTACATGGATGGACTGGATGAGGAGTTGCCTATACTCCGAAGCCTGAGAAATACAATTGGATATGTGGATAAGTGGCTAGGCAAATGATCCTACCTTGTCAAAGTCGGCTTCTTGGGTCTTTGGAAGCTGTTTCTTTAGGAAGAGAACGACTTCTTCAACATTGCGACTAGTTGTCATACTGAGAACCACACTGATGGCCTTCCGACGAACTTCCATGTCGGCACTGATGATGCATTAGTGGAATAACCATACAAAGATTATCACTTACGTCGACAGGATCTGCAACACGTCCATGATGAGGCCATCCATGACATGGCCATGCCTTGAACGAAGGGCGTCAAGACGATCTAACACGATGAGCTTAACGTTATTATCTGATTCCTTTATTATGAGGTTAATGTAGCAAGATGCAGCGGCTAACAGGTCACGTCAGAAAGACAACAGCATGAGATACAAGGGAACAATACCTTTGATGGCTGCAGGGTTTTGTGTAAGTGCGGTCAACGTTGTTGCGGCCTCGTACTTAACAGCGTGAGAAGAAACGTTGAGAAGGTCAAATATGCACCGAATGTAACGGCCCTATAAAGTTCAGATATAGATTAGAAGGATTAAAGACAGGGGCATGTACAAACACGCTGGGCAGATTCATTTTTGCAATCCATACGTATCACTTCAATAATACTCATCTGCAACGTTTCGTCTAGAGAAGGAATGGAGTCGTAAATGCTCGAAATATACTCGACGGCTTTCGGCATAGAGCAATGAGCCAAAAACACGAACGCATTACGCTTGCAAGTCGAGTCGGTCTCCGCGGCGAGGAAGGTGAGCATGAGCTCTGGGGCATCTGGGATGAGATGTTCATATTCGCGATAGATGGAGTAGACGGCGAAAACTGCATTTTTGCGGACGTAAGAGTGCCGATGCTCTAGACAGGATCTACAGGTAGGAATGAGAGGTTCAAGGAGCTCGGAATCTTTGGCGATTTTTTGCAGAAACCGCAGAGTTGCACCACGAATGTATTCGTTTGGGTGTTGCTAAATTAAATGCGATTCCGTCAGCTGGTGGGTTATATGATGGGGAGGACATACCAAGTCATTTCGAATGGCGTTGCTGGACACAAAGGTCATCCATCGTCAGATATAACAAGCGACTGCATACGCACACAACAAGGATCATTTCCTGCTTCAGTTTTCCCTGCTCATCATACTTTGGACAGACTTCCCAGTAGAAATGCAGCAATTTCTTCAGCTGCTTGTTCCGCGACGGCAAGACGAATTGGATAATGGGCATAAGCAATGTCGGCTGGATCCCAAATGAGTATCCTGTATTATCCTCGATTCCATGCTACCCTGACCTGAGGATTTCCATTGATAGTCGAAATGACGATCCGGCGCAACGTGTCGATTTTGCCTTCATCCGAGCCTTTTTCAAGGAGCTGGCGCAGTTCAGACGCCGAAGGAGACTCAGTAGCTGACTCAAAGATGACCGTGTAGCATAACGTATCTGCAGCAGACATTGTGGTCGGCAGCGACGACGACAGAGAAGGAAGGTAGGTGGAAGTGTAGCGGTGTAACGCGTTGGTGCCAAACCTTCGTTGGCTTATGTCACGTATCTGTGGGAAAGTAAAAAGCACCGCGCTCGTCGTCCTGAACGTCCTCCATGGCGTCGTCATCGTCTGCGCCTGTTGCTCATAATGCTCTTCCGCCGCCGTCAGTGTCCTCTGCAGGTCGTTCGTCGCGAATAGCACCCCATTCTCATATCAAAGGCCTTGGTTTGACGCCTGAAGGCCTTGCAACCATTGACGGTGCTGGATTTATTGGTCAGACCGTTGCTCGCGAGGTAGGTCCCGCCTCCATCTCGGATACATCAAGTAATATCTCTTAGGCTTATGTTAGGCGTGCGGTGTCATTGTGGATCTCATAAAATCTCGCAAATTCTCTGGACGAGCCCTTTTGCTCGCAGGCGCGCCAGGAACAGGCAAGACCGCCCTCGCATTGGCTGTATCGCATGAACTTGGGGTAAAGGTCCCATTCTGTCCTATGGTCGGATCGGAGGTGTACAGCACAGAAGTCAAGAAAACCGAAGTTCTGGCAGAAGTTTTCCGGAGGGCCATCGGTAGGCTTCCGTAATATCGTATATTGTAGTCCCTAAGAGTTCTTCTAGGCCTCCGTATAAAGGAAACCAAGGAGGTATATGAGGGTGAAGTTACCGAACTCACACCGGCAGAGTCTGAAAATCCCTTGAGCGGCTATGGCAAGACGGTCTCTCACGTTATCGTCCATCTCAAGACAGTCAAGGGCGTCAAGCAACTACGCCTTGATCCTAGTATATATGAATCTATACTCAAAGAAAAGGTTGTGGTTGGAGATGTCATTTACATTGAAGCCAACACTGGGGCGGTCAAGGTAGGTCTGTTTCGACGTCTCTGGCGAATTTTGCTCACGTCGCGTTTAGCGAGTAGGACGGTCAGATGCATATGCCTCATCATATGATCTCGAGTCGGAAACCTACGTTCCTCTCCCTAAGGGCGATGTTCATAAACGCAAGGAATTGGTCCAAGATGTTACCTTGGGAGATTTAGATGCAGCAAACGCACGGCCTCAAGGCGGTCAAGATATCATGAGTGTCATGGGCAGCCTTGTAAAAAGTGGGCGCACAGAAGTCACAGATAAACTCCGGCGCGAAGTCAACAAGGTCGTCAAAGGCTATGTAGACCAAGGAGTGGCTGAGGTGGTCCCAGGAGTCGTGTTCATTGATGAGGTTTGCCTATTTTTTATTCCGTCACGATCTGCTGACCCGTTTTAGGTGCACATGTTGGACATTGAGTGTTTCACCTACCTAAACGCACTTCTGGAGTCGCCTATGGCTCCAACCGTCATTCTTGCGACGAATCGTGGTAATGCACTGGTACGAGGGACGACTGACATCGTATCTCCTCATGGCGTTCCCGTCGACCTGCTCGATAGGTGAAGATCATTATCTGAGGTCACCTTACTACTGACCGACATGATGACAGATGTATGATTGTTAAAACTGAAGGGTACACTCGAGAGCAGGTTGGGAAAGTTGTTCAACTTCGTGCAGACGTTGAGGGTCTTAAATTGAGTCCTGCTGTCCTCGCCCGATTGGCAATGGAGGGAGAAAAGAGCTCACTAAGGTACTTTGTCGTTTTCACCTTTATTGCTTTGCAAGAGCTCATTTTGTTTCAGATACGCCCTTCAGCTACTCGCACCTGCTTCGATCCTGGCCAAGCTGGCGGGTAGGTCGCAGATTGAGGATGAAGATATTGCGGAGATGAATGAATTGTTCCTTGACGCCAAAACCTCTGCTGCAAACATTGGGGACCACACAACAGATGGTGAAAAAATGAGCTTGTAGCATATCCGTTGCGCACTACCCTGTTGTTTTTACTAAATTCTAGTAGTATATAAGATTTTGTACGTCCCGAAAATTCAACCCCTATCATTTGTTTGTTGCTGTTGGAACCCGAGGTTGTTGAGAGGGCACAGCCACCACATCTTCGTCACATTCAACGATGAGCTCGCCAAAGCGGCCGGGGTCTCCTTCACCAGGCTCTGATTCAAAACGTGCAAAACTATCAGTAACGGAGCACAACCAGGGCGTATCCGCTGTCGACCCCGACTCTGCGCCCGGCAAACGTAGCGAGCTCGATCCCATCCAGTCCGGTGACATTGGGAACCTCCCCAGCGAGGAGGGTGTCGTTGCAGGAGAGTCATCTTCTCGACCCGATGCACGCGTGAAGGTGTTGGGAGATGATGAGGATGGTGGAGATGTGTCTATGGGTGAGGATGACGGCGAATCTGGTGACGAAAACGACGATGAAGACCCGGCACAACTGGAAGCTACGCGCCTTCGTCTCGAAGAGCAGGCAAGGAAATATTTGGCCTCCCAGACTCACGAGGTCATCATTCCGTCATATTCTGCCTGGTTTGATATGGCCAAGATACATCCTGTCGAGCGCCGGGCCTTACCTGAGTTTTTCAACTCCAGGAATCGGTCCAAAAGTCCCGCAATATACAAGGACTATCGTGACTTCATGGTCAATACCTACAGGTTACGGCCTACAGAGTATCTCACCGTCACTTCCTGCCGTAGAAACCTTGCAGGCGACGTCTGTGCCATCATGCGCGTCCACGCGTTTCTCGAGCAATGGGGTCTGATTAACTACCAGGTGTGTGCTACAGTTCAATTTCCAGCTATGTCGTTAAATCTTTTTTTCGCAGATTGATCCAGATGCTCGTCCTGCCGCCCTTGTTCCTCCGTTTACAGGCCATTTTCGTGTTATACTTGACACGCCACGGGGTCTTCAGTCGCTTCACCCCGGCTCAAAACCTTCTAATCCAGGTGCGGCTGCCGTCAATGACACTCAAAAACCTAATACTGCGGCAAATTCTGCTTCTCTCGAACTTCGTTCATCCATATACCAAACTTCATCCAAGTCAAGTCGGCCTGTGAGTGCCTCAGAGGCCAAAGACCTCGCAAACGAGGCCAATGGAAGCACACCTGCCAGCGGTCTCTACACTTGTGATACCTGCGGCACTGATTGCACTCCCCTCCGCTACCACTCTCTAAAAGAAAGGAAGTTCCAGCTCTGCACTCCGTGCTACCTCAATGGGCGCTTCCCTTCTACCATGTTCAGCGGGGACTTCGTCAAGCTGACGAGCACTACTCCGGAGGGCAACGATGGCTGGTCAGATCAAGAAGTTCTCTCGCTACTCGAAGGGATAGAGATGTATGACGATGACTGGAGCAAAATTGAAGAGCATGTCATGACAAAGACGGCCCAGCAGTGTATACGCAAATTCTTGGAACTGCCGATCGAGGACCCGTACTTGAATAGCGAGGGTTCTATGGGCCCTCTGAGGTTTAGCAGAATGCCATTCGAGCAGGCTGACAACCCTGTCATGAGCGTTGTTGCCTTCCTGGCTGGAGTTGTGGGACCGGGGGTGGCAGCAGAAGCAGCAAAAACGGCCTTGCATGAGTTGACGGATGACGCGAAACCAGAAACTGGGAAAGAGGATGGCAAGATGGGTCAGGACCAGCCAGAAGGCGAGGCTAACCAGTCGAGGACTGACGAGGAGATGGCGGAGGAAGGCAAGGTGCCATCCCGTACACTACCTCATTCCAAAGTTACCCGGGCAGCTGACTTGGCCCTCAAATCGTCAGCCAAAGCCGCCCAATCTCTCGCTGACGCCGAAGATGCACAGATCCGGTCGACTCTTGCTTCGATGATCAAGCTGACGCTCACCAAGCTTGAGTTGAAGATGTCGCAGTTTGAAGAGTTGGAGGACATTCTGGAAGAGGAGCGGAAGGGGTTGGAGAGTACGAGAATGGCCCTTGTGCAAGAACGGTTGGGACTGAAAAAAATGGTGGACAACGTCAAGTCTCTCATTGCAAAAAATGGGAACGGAGTCAATAGTCTTAACAGTGTATCGCTCGGAAACAGCGGCCAAGGGACTGTTGTCAATGAGGTGCAACCCGGGACGTCAATGGAAGGTGGCATGGGGCCCGTAGAGGATGGTAGCATGTTACAGCTGACCTAATTCCGTGTATATCCTGACTTTTTTATATATTGCTATTGTGCTTTCGTGTACATTATACTCTACATTAGAACAGATGCATTCGTTAAAATGACAGTTGCACAGCTGCGTCTAGCGGTTCTGGCCCACTTGAACGTAGGGAAGGGTCAACTGCCACCACACGACCATTCCAAGACCAACCAGACCATGGATTGTTCCCCACACAGTTTCTGGGGTGATGCGATACCTGCAAAAACATAAGAAAAAAAGAGGGCTGACTTGAATAACTCACTGCTCGAAGAAAGGTCCGAACGAGTAGGGAATGAAACGAGGAGCGTAGTAAAGGACGGTGGAAGCCGAAGAGTGATATACACATAGACCTATTGCCAGAGCTCGTTTTCCTGGAAGAAATTCTACACGCCGGATTTGAAACTATGGTACCGGGGCTCGAGAGAAAGAGTTGGACATACCTGGCAACGGGAAACACAGTAGCGCGACTACGCACGACGCCAGAGCCAACGACGCATACAACTGTCGAAAGCCAATGGGTCGTGGCTGGACACAGCAATGGGCCACGGATGCTCACCTTGAGAAGGACCACGGTGGTGTTCGTGAGCTGCAGAAAAGGCAGCGTGGCAGGCGACCATATGCCCCGGATTGCAAGAGGAATCTCGACTGCAATATGGAGCAGAAAAACAACAGAGCTAATAGTATTTGCGATGAATATACGTGAGATAGCCGCCAAAATAAACGTACAGAGGGCTACAGGATGCCGTAGACATGGTAGTCGTAGCGTATAGTGTATACGTACTTTCTCACGAATAAATAAAAATGAATGAATATCAATTTTCTCTTCTACTGAACATTGTACCCTATCAAGCTTCTCCTTCCGAGTATCTCCCCAATCTAAAGTCCAATATATTTCAGTTCTTTTACGATGAATAGCTCAAAATTGCGTACTTTGAAGATACCGTATGCCTCTAACGCATACACCCCGACCTTGGCAAATTTCAGCTGCCGCCACTTGAGGGCCGACGCCCATATTTCCTTGTACGCAGCCTTGACCTCCGCAATGGACTTGGGTGGTGCCAGGCTCTCCGCAACGTAAACTTGCTTGGCCAATGACCGTACAACCGCAAAGTTGTACACTATCGGTTGGCGGTAAGCTAATTACACCTTCAGCTCGACGGCGCAGGGAACGACCACCAGCGACGTACCTCCCAAGAAGCTTCCAGCCCTTTCTCCCAAAGGGCCCAAGGCCTTGATGATCTTCTCAGCACCAGCTTTTCCTTGCTCGATGGCCTTTCCAGCTGCCTCCTGCGCCTTTTCTTGTGTCGACTTGGTGGAATACTTCCGAGCATGGCGAGCTGCCTGGACGATACGGGCCCGTAGCATTTTTTTGTCAAAGTAGAGGGAAGAATTAGGGACTGTGGGAAGTTTGGATTGGTCCGGAACGGAACGGTCGATCTTATCTTATCAGCGGATGCAACTTACATAATCTATATTACTCTATGTTACATCCTCTCAAGTGGTCGAATGCTCAATAGCCTCATCGCAGTAGCCAGGACATCTCGTGCAGAATCGTACAGCCACATCCTCGCCCTCGCTTTCTCTATATCCTCTTCTCCTTTGACCACCACCGTCTCCCACGCACTGGAGATGGCGTGACTGAGCCTGAACGCAAACGTGACCACCCCACTAGGCTCGTGTGTTTTCAGCGCGACTTTCACTACATCCGGATACGATCCCAAGAGTAAAGCAATGTCACGAGCGTGTTTAGATTGGGTCAATGTTTCAATGTTGATCTGCGATGGGGGAGGAAGCGGAAGAAGATGTGGATTTTTCCGGCCAATAGATGCAAGCCGGACATGCGCATATTGAAGGTAAGGACCCGTATCACCCTCGAAAGATTTCATTCGGTCCCACGTGAATGTGTAGTTGTTGATTCTGCACATGCCATAAGAAGACACACAGAATGTAATAAGGTCCATCGACTCACCGTTTCGCAGCCATGTCCTGTATTTTCACACCGGTGATACCAACTTCTCGACTCGTCGTTTCTGGGTCCTCTATAGCGGAATACTTGTCTTCATTCTTTTGCATCTGCTCATGCATCACTTGGGCAGCCTCCTTGATAATTTGATCCAAGAATACGACAGTCCCTTTTCGTGTACTCATGCCTTCAACAAGACCGTAATTGACATGCTCAAGAGATTTGGCCCAGGGGAATTCTAGAAGCTGAAGAATCTTGAAAAACTGTTGAACATGATGATCTTGCTGTGATGATATGACATAAATCATCTTGTCGAACTTGTACTTTTCATATCGTTCAATGGCACCTCCGATATCCCGAGTGAGATATATCGAGGTCCCATCTGCGAAGAATTGTAAGCATCAGACAAATAATGTGGAGACACGACGTACCTGATTTTCGGAGAACAGCTTTTCCGAGCTTCCACTTCTCCAAGTCTACGAGTTTGGCACCATCAACACCAGTGATAAGGCCCATGTCCTCAAGGCGAGCCTGTGCCTTGTCCTGCCATTCCCTTCCAACCATACTCTCGCCCGTGTATACGTCGAACTTGACATTCAATCGCTCATATTCCTCTGCATATTTTTTGACGCTTAATTCTCGCCAAACCCGCCAGTTTGTGAGCGCAGTCTCGTCGCCATCCTCCATCCTTTTGAACCATTTACCTGCCTCAGTTTTGACCTCTGGGTTGGATTCTATATCCGCGTTAATCTTGACATATATGTCGAAAAGGTGCTTGATCGCGTCCTTTTCGAGTTCCTCCTGGGATCCATATTTCTCGAACCCTACGGCGATAAGACCAAACTGAGAGTCCCATCAAATGATGTGAGGCGTGGAATAAGATTTGCACTGACTTGGGTACCCCAGTCTCCGAGGTAATTCATAGAAACGACGTCCCACCCACAACTTTTGTACAGGTTGGCGAGAAATGCACCAATGATTGTACTTCGCAGATGGCCGACATGAAAGGACTTTGCGATGTTGGGTGAGGAGTATTCGATGACCAGCGTTTTTCCCTTGCCGGAGATATTTGTGCCGTACTCGGGCTCTCCAGAGGGAGTATTGTGAGTGAGGGTATGGATTTGGGTAAGGACTTGTCGGATAACGGTCGAGGTGGTCAGCTGGAAGTGAAGAAAGGCTTTGTCGTGTGTAACAGAGGCGACGTATTCATCTGGTTGAAACTGGAAAAGATCAGATTTGAATAGAAAAGACAAAACGACCACACACCTGCGCGATGACTTTTGCAGCGAGCTCATCGACCTTGCCTGGCAGACGGAATCGAGGAAGAGCAACGGTGAAATCGACACCTTTTTTGCCGTAGTCAATGCCCGAGTATGCCTGCTCTATGGTCAACGGGGGCAGAGCATCGGCCACCCGCCTTGCAATTGCTATCCTGAAGGTATCGAGGGCGCATCGAGACGGATCGGTGCCAAGAAGGGAGGGAAGAGACGAAGCCATCCTGTAAAAGAGACGAAGGCGTCGCAGTCGAATGGTGTTGAAAGGAGCCACAACTGGTAGTTATTCAAGAAAAAATAAAAATGATATCGATTGGAGGAGTCATTGATTAGCACAGCCACTAGGTACTCTTAGTCATCTAATCTTGGCAGAGTATCGGTCAGAATCTTTTCTCCCAGTGCCAACTGCTTGAAGAGCATGTATGCCCTCTCTAGATCGTCGTTCACGATAACATAGTCGTGCATATTTGGTTCCTTGGCGTACTCAATCTCCCTCACTGCCGTCGCCAGCCGCTTCGCCACCGACGCTTCCGTTTCTGTACCCCGTCCTTTCAATCGCTCGCGCAGCGATGCCATGGTCGGGGGAGAGATGAAACAGTACACCGGATTGAGTGATGTCGCCTTGATTTGTTGTACACCCTAGCAGAGGTTCGAAGAACGCTATGATCCTAGCATAATCAGCACATACCTGGGCCTCGATGTCAAGAATACACCGCCGTCCTTCCTTCTCTACCTCTCTGACAGTCTGAAAGCTCGTTCCGTAAAAGTTTCCAGAGAACTGCGCGTGTTCGATAAAGGCTCCTTGTCTGATGAGCTCCTGGAACTTGTCCACCGTCACAAAGTGGTACTGTTTTCCATCAACCTCGCCTGGTCGAGGGTTGCGAGTCGTGTCTGGGCCCTTTCAAGGCTTCTTTTCAACAATTATGACAATAGGAGGGACCCACGAGAAACGCTGAAACCGAATTTATCAGGATATTCTGCAAACAGCCGTTGTAAAAGAGTGCTTTTGCCGACGCCAGAAGGGCCGGAGAGAATGAGAGGACGGAGGAAATCCGGGAGCATCGAGGTGCTGGTTAGATGATGGAGGGAGTGTAAGTTACAATCAAAGATAGAATGTAGATGTCACATGCTACCTTCCTTTGCTGTCACACTTGTGGATCATATGTGTGTCACGCTTTCTCTTCTCTCCTGTCGCCTCCCTTCCCCGCCTAAAACGCCCTACCGTCCTCTTACCCTTTCTCCATCCCGCTGTATTCGAGCCACCCCGGGGCACGCCTTCGTTTGTCGAGGAACTGTCTTTATCCGGTACTAAGGGCTGGCCTCCGCAAAATCCTTGCCTCTGCTACCTTTACGTCTCATCAGCAGGTGCTGTATCTTGAAACGCGGTAGCGACGAGCTATCATGGGCGGAGTCTGTTGCCGGCCGCAGGTGTGATTCGTTTGAGATGCCAGCGACGACAGCTCATCCTAGTCTATCTTTGCTCTACTAGCCGATTGATTTTGATGGCGAGGTCAACCTCTTCCACTTTGTTCTCTTACGATGCGTAGGAAAGGGCGCCTTTGGCAAGGTACTCCTTTTCATTTTCAAATATCTTTATTCTTAAAATTGTCATATCTACCACCGTTTGCAGGTTCGAGTCGTCCAGCACAAACAGACAAGGGATCTTTACGCCCTCAAGTACATAAACAAGTCGAAATGCGTGAAGATGAAGGCAGTTCCTAATGTCATCCAGGAGAGGCGGCTCCTCGAGGAGGTGTGCATGTTTCTTACTGACTCGCTATTAACCGACTGACTCGCCGTCCAGGTCGATCACCCATTCATCGTCAACCTCCGCTACGCTTTTCAAGACGATGAGAACTGCTTCTTCGTGCTCGATCTCATGCTCGGTGGTGATTTGCGATGTGGGTTTGGAACCTTCAGATCTGGAGTACACAATTCAACGACTGATGTATTCTCAGTTCACCTAGAGCGGCTTGGATCACTGGAGGAAGATGTTGTGAGATTTTATGTTGCCCAGCTCTCGTCCGCTATCGCGTTTCTCCACGACATTGGCATAATGCATCGGTCTGTATTCCGCTTATGCGCTGTACGTTGGACTTGTGTGTGCTAACTGGCACTGGCCGACTAGGGACATAAAACCTGATAATATTCTATTGGACGAAAAAGGGAATGCTCATCTGACAGATTTTAACATTGCTGTTCACTTCAGCGAGCGGCGGCTGAACGGCATTGCAGGCTCCATGGCGTACATGGCTCCAGAGTGAGTTCCCCATCTCCGACTCGTATTCATTTTTTTTTTCCATTTTTCTCCTCTTTTTTAGAATTCTCGCTAAGAGGGGCTATACCTGCCATGTCGACTGGTGGTCCTTGGGTGTCTGTGCATACGAGCTTCTCTTCGGACGCCGACCTTTCCGAGGACGGACAAACAGCGACTTCACATACAGTATAACGAAGGATCCTCTAAAGTGGCCTGAGGATGCAGAGAAGAAGTGCAGTAGACCCGGCATGCTTGTCCTCAAAGGGGTCAGTCTCCTATATGCCCATCTTGCCCTTGACCTTACCAGTGCCACAGCTTCTGGATCGAGATACCTCTAGACGATTCGGATGTAAGCCAGACGGAGAGGGCTATCAGGAACTTCGCCGACATTCTTGGTTCAAATCTATTGACTGGGATACATTGGAAACAAAAGAGCAGATACCTCCATTTGTCCCTGATGTGAGTACAACACACGGCATGCCTCTCTTATCCTAACGACATTGTACAGGCGAAGAAAGCCAATTTTGATGCATCTCACGAATTAGAAGAGCTTTTGTTGGAAGACAATCCGCTCAAGGCAAAAGCCCGTAAAGCCAATCAAGATAACCTTAGCATTGAAATGAGACAGATGGAAGACAAGTGCGCTCCTTTTGACTGCTCCCTCCTTTTACCCATTTTGACGATTGTCGGACTAGGTTCACATCATATGACTTCAAGAAAATGCAGCGACGTTCGTATTACCCACATAATCAACACCTAATATCCATGGCTACCGCAACGTCGTCTGGAATGGCATCATCACGACCTACCACACCTGCGAATGAACTTCGTGTGGACAGTGGGATCACGATTAACAACAATTCCATGGATATCCCCACACCCGATACTGACGGAATACCCCAGGACAAAGAACTGCTGTCAGAGAAGGATTACCGGTAACCCTGTACGTACTTTGTCCTGTCGTTCGTCCCCTTTGGCTCACACAACAACGTTTCAACAGCAATTATGCATCTTTTTTTCATCGTGTACATGCATTTTCTATCATTTTCATCTATCGGGCCCTCATCATCTCTGCGCATCTCACTCATATTCACGTTCTCTTGTCTTGTCGTGGGTTGACATTTTCCTGCTTGTTACGTCAGTGACTTGCTTACAATTACCTGTCTATAACTGTCGCTCACGCTTGGGTCCCTGTCTGTTATTTTTATGGTCTTAGTAATACGGCTTTAGCACCGCTGTACGGTTGTGGATTCGGAGATTATCGAACAAAGTATTTTATACCCTGATTTAGTAGACTCGTGTCACGAGACTGAACGCGATGTCGTTACTTCGGTCCGGCCACGCTCTGACAGCAACCGCCGTCATGGATTCCTACGACTCGGAAGAAGACACGGACGATGTCGACGATGAGCATGACAGAATTGATTTCTCCTTGTGAGTGAACTTTGGCATGATGCGGCAGCTGATACCGACGATGTCAGTTTCACATCGCTGCTCACCGCCATCTCCCAAGTTTCACACAGCAAGAACACAATTGCATCCCGTTCAAAAGCAGATCATCCAGCCTTGAATAAATTCCGTCTTTGGGTCAACGCGTTTCGCAAGCGCTACCCCAATCCCGCCAAGGGTACCACAGCAATTGTTTTCCGACTCCTGTTCCCCGATGAAGATGTCCGTCGCAAGTATGACATGCAAGAGAAACAGCTGGCTCAAGCCCTCCGCGACGCCCTTGCCACTTCTAACCCCCGTTTACTCAAATGGGACCAGGACGGAGCTTCTGGCTGTCTTGGGGCAGAAGTGCGGCAGGTCATGGATCAAACTTCCACAGTGAGACTCTATGAACGTTTCCACAGAGAGGGAAATCCTCACTGACCTTACAGATTGACCCAGAAGAGCCTAGTCGTCTCACAATAGATGAAGCTGATATGTTTCTCGATGAACTAGCCGCGATTTCTGTCTATTCTCATGATTCTGTCCGCTCCAAGTATCCGTCTGCAATACGGCGGAAGAGGAACCATATAATTCGCGAAATATACTCGACGCTGTCCGCCGTTGATGCTTCTTTTCTTACACAGATCATCTTGAAAGATCTCCGTCCGTTATTGTATAGTTCCAATTCACGTCACTACGCCGACGCCCTAAAGAATTACAATTCAACGTCAATCCGAGCTCTTACTAAGGAGGATGCCATGAAAATATGGGATCCAACCAAGTCTATGCTACAGTCCTACAGTCATGCTGCAACCCTGGAGGACGCAGCTGCCGCTTTTGAGAACGGAGTAACGATATCCGCACCGAGATTGGGTACGCCGATAGAGGCACGTTTCTGACTAAGAGCTCCTTCTCCCATGTCTAATTCCATTCCTTTATAGATCCCGAAGTCTTGGAAAGGTCAAGGATGCTCACACGCTCTCTCTCTTCTCCGATCAGCCAAAGTGGTCTGGGTGGAAACCAAGTATGATGGCGAACGCGCGCAGATACACGTCGAGGTATTGCCGAGCGGTATCCCCAATATCACGATATTCAGCAAGAGCAGGCGCGATTCCACTCAAGACAGAGCCGCGATCCATTCCATAATCCTTGACACTCTTAGGCTCTCTGACGTCAAGCCCCATATTCAGATCAAGAATATCATACTAGATGCGGAAATGGTTGCACACAATGGAGTGCGCATTGATGGTACTCATTTGAATGCAATACAACTGACCATGCTGACTTCTTTGCATAGAATTCTGGAGAATTCGTAAGCTCATCGAAAATACCGCTGTCGGCCCTCGTTCTAGAAGAAGGGCATCTGTTATCTTGTTAGTTTTCCGCATCAGTATCCGTTTGACTCTTCTCATCACTCATCAGGGAAAGTCAGTCTTCACTCTTATCTGATGTTGGCAATGAAGAACGACACCTTGCCCTTGTTTTTTTCGACGTACTCTATCTCAACTCAGTGTCCCTGCTTTCTTCGTCTTATAGAGATCGGCGAAGGATTTTGGAATCGATCATCAAACCCATACCCGCCTATGCCATGCTTTCTGACCGCATTCCGATTTTGATGCATAACCCAGAAGAAGCCGAGGCTAGATTTCGCCAGATATACGCAGAATCAATTGCTGACTATCAAGAAGGAGTCGTTCTAAAAGCGGATGATGGTGGTTATAACAGAGCAGGATGCCCTTGGGTCAAACTGAAACGAGACTATATTCAAGGTTATTCGCATCATTCCGCATATATACCATCTACCCAACTTTGTCAGGCCTTGGAGACACAGTCGACTTGGTTTTTCTTGGTGCCGGATGGGCCAAAGATCGCAGTCGAGAACTCGATGGTACCATCCACTATCCCTGGCTTCCGGACCTTTTCTGTAACTCTTTTCCAACAGTGCCAACGGACACCTTCACAACATTCTATATCGGTACTCTCAAAAATTCTGAAGAGCTAAAGCATAACGTACGCACCTCTCCAAATACTTCGATCAGAATTTCTGAAGTTATCAGTAGCTTAATGTCCAACCAACCTTTCTCGTCCACTTTATAGCCGAGTATGGTCTGGACCGAGACTCCCTAGAGCACATCAATTTCTGTATCAAAAGTTCTGAACCGGTTTCGTATTCGTTATTACACAAAGTACGTTGGGTCCTTACACAGTCATCGTGCATTAAGATGAAGTCTATGTAACGCAGTCTGGACAACAATTGCCGTACTTGTTTGAGTTATACCAAGGTTTACATCCACCATCATTTCTTTTGCGGTGCCCTTTGCTAGTAGAAGTCATGGGAGCCAATTTCACGAAATCGGAGGGCTGCAACGTCTGTATCTTCTTGTGGATACTCCATATGTATTCTAACCCCATCTCTGTAGGAATACGAGTTGCGTTTTCCTAGAATCTTGAAGGTCTATCGGCCTGCCGAACGATCTTGGAGAGACGGGGTCAATCGCAAAGAGCTTTGCGAGATCGCCAGGAAAGCTGTCGGTAGGGACTCAAAATACAAAGATATTGAGGACGAAGCTAGGACCATTTGGAACTTGCCTACATCTCCGAGCGCAAGAAGCTCCGAAAGAAGGGAGGCAAGGATTGCTATGTATGAGAAGAAGCTCCTCGATCGAGATCGCAAACGAAAGGGAAACGCGGGGTTCGACTCACTTCCGACAAAAAGGTCAAGAAAATCCGATACAATCGCTACCGTTGCTGCCTCCTCACCGCGGGTCCCTTTGCGCATGACAACAAACGTCGTTCATCTTGAATCTCCCATCGTTGGTCCACCGACTCCCCAATCACTGGAATCGCAACGTACAAAAGCCTCTCCATCACCTTTGCTGCAACTTGAAGGCGATTCCGAGGCTGAGTTTTTGCAAGAGTCCCTTATCTTCTTTGTCAAGCATCCTTCTTGTGCGGACAGTCTTCCTTTCGCACCCCAGTGGAAGAAGCTCGTTCCATATCATTGCCGTGTCCACGCCTTGAGCTCTTTGCTAGATGGATGTGGATGGCAAGCAGATAGCGAACAGCGCTTCTCACCGTGGGCTAAACGAGGCGTAATTATCATTGACAAGAGTCGTTCTGCAGCAAGAGACTGGGAAGCGTACGTTAATGAGAGCATGGCCAAGCGCAAAATGTCCTTGCCAACGAGAAAGCCGATATGGGTATTTGATGGTTCTTTACCAGTGACGATCCTCAAAGGGCAGGCCTTGTATGTTTTCTCCTAGCTTTCAGCTTCTTGTGTATTGTTTTCCAGACTTGGACTAATTGTGTCCTTTACTCATTTGCCACCTCTCGCGTGGCTTTCTTTGCAATCTGTTCGTGCTGTCTCATCCCTCCTTCAAGTAATGTCATTTGCCCCTTCACAAGCCTGTACACTTCCCCTTCATAGGTGCCTTCGACCTTGTCGCATGATTAGTGCCGTCACTATCATCCTCATCTCCATTATCCAGCTCGCCTTCGACGACGGCCTGCATGAAATATCGTTCATGCGTCACTACCAGCAGCGCGCCCCCGAAGTGCGTCAGGGAATCTACCATTGCGGTGATTGTGTCGCTGTTTAGATGCGTGGTGTGGTGCCGCAAAATCTTCTTCTCCAGATCCCAACCGAAGACAAGCAGCCAAAGCTACGCGGACTTTCTGCCCACCGGAAAGCTTAGACAATGGCACATCAGACACTGTTGGCCCAGACAAGCCTAACGAGCCAAGAATCCTACGCGCTGCAGATTCGCTCAGTGCGTTTGGTGGCAGTTGAAGGAGGTGTGACAACGCGGTTGCAGTGGGTTGGATGGTCCCTAGCTCAGTGACGTTTTCAACTTCATGCTGTGAGAAATCTGCCATCCTCAAGCGCGGATGAAGATTGATAATTCCTCGTGTGGGTTTGAGGATCCCTATTGCAGCAGGGGTGGTTCAGAGGGAAATGTTAATTTTACCGGTGGATCCATTGTTGGAATCTCAAAGACTACCCTGTTCTTCGGATGACACCCAGCTAAATCTCTAGCTTAAACCTCGTTCCTCTCGCACTGATTTCGAGGCCTGAGGTATTAGAGATACAGAATATAAAAGGAAGAAATACATATAGTCTAAAAGGCCTTCCAAGTTCCAACTCGGTTAATTTGTCAAATAGCTACAAGCACATAATGAACATTTCCTTGCAGCTTGAGGTTTGCACTGGCAAGTATTTTCCTTTCCGCCAGTGGACATACATATATCATATACATCGATCTTATGGATGTCCGAGCGCGGAACTGGGACGGAAATCGGTCCGAATTTCCGAGGGGCAGTTAGCCAAACAGACACATACGTGCACCGTCGACAGTGCTTGAGCGCGACACCCCTCTTGTTCTTACCAGCATCCTCCCGCTCCTTTTTCCGGTACCAAATGCGGCCATGTCTTTTTTTGGATTCGAACAAAGTGACCTAGAAAAAGAAAAACAGCGCTTCCTTGAAGGAGGCATCCAGGACACGGAAAATTTAGCTGTCTTCACTTGGGGAGAAGAGAGCTACGATGGGCTAGGTGATGCCCTACAAGAAGGTGGCGATGACCTAAATGATGAGACCTTTGGCAGTACTGGTGCCGTTGGTGAGTGCTGTTGTCGTTATCGCAGTATCGTGTGTAATCATGGCTACGTCGAAGGCAAGGACTTCGATTTTTCGAACACAGGCGGCTTGCATGATTCTGTTGCGTTGCCTGGGTATCCAGAAAGTTCAAAGGACCCATTGAATCAAGAGAATCCTGTATTTCAAACCAAACAAACTGTTCCTGCTGTTCAGGTTCAATCATGTACGCTTGCACCTGCTGAATCCTCGGCTTCAATCTTACCCCTGTTGAATTCAGCCTTGAAATCAATTCCTTCACGCTCATTGGAGTCTCTGTGGGATGACAAGTCTCCGTTCTCTGTTCTTCCTCGTAATAATGGTACTGCTCGGTCAACTTCATCTTCCTCTCCATTTGCTTCGCAGCCAACAGCAAGAGGCCTCCAGACCTTATCTCACGGAGTTTCACAGCCTGGCGTACGCACCTTGGCCGAAATAGAGGCTGAGATGCGTGCTGCCACTCAGCAATCCAGAGAGGTCACCGTGCATCGGGAGAAACTGCTTCGCAGACAACAGGAAGAAGAATACTTACGAGAACAAGAGCTTCTTCGGCAACAACAAGAGGAGGACGAATACCTGCGCCAAGAGCAGGAACAGCAACGGCAACGCTATCTGTACCAACAGGAGCAACTGCAAATACAACGTCTGCAACAGCAGAGGGAGCTCCTGCAGCAGGCACAGAGCACACCTCCTCCACGCATGCTTCCTGTGTCACAATCTCCCCGATTCCTCGAACACCAGAGACAGATTCTCTTGCTGCAGCAGCAACAAGAACAGCAGCAGATCCTTCGACTCCAGGAACTGCAAGAGCAATTACGCATGGAAAGCTTGGAGCGACAATTGCGCGCACAACAATTGAATAATCTCGGGACTCACCACCGTCAATTGTCAGGTCGGAGTATATCCCCTCAACTCCAGCACCAGCGTCGTCAACGATCGCGTTCCCCTCCCGGGACTATCCCATTGCAAGATAATCTTTCTTATCATCCCCAAAATATCCAACTTCAGCAACGGCTTCTGTCTGAGATGGCCCAGGTCGAATTTTTGCGTGATATGCAAGGATCAAACTCTGTGGAGCAAGAAGCTTTGCGTATGGAGGCTATGCGCAAGATAGTCGAGGCAGAGAAGTTGGAAGAGAAGCGGCGAAGACGTGCTGCCAAGATTGCTCATATGGTTCATTCATTTCCCTGCTGCTCGTCCCTTTCGACTGCTAATGCCGAATTACCAGTCTAGATACAACGACCTTATGACCCAATCGGATAAAGACTTCATCACTCGGATCCAAGTTTCTCAACTAGTCACTCAGGATCCTTATGCTGATGACTTTTACGCCCAAGCTTATGGTGCCATCATTCGTTCACGGATGGGTATTCACTCTCAGGACGAACGAGTGTTGAAATTCGGGTCCAGCGGAGGTATAGGCTTGGGTATCGCCCCCAAGGGAGGTCATCGAAGGCAGAGCGCCATGCAGAAGATGGAGCAACAGGTGGAACGAATTGTTAGCAATGCTCGACGCCGCGAGGAAGAGAAGGGTTTACACTGTGAGTACCTTAGTCACGGCATGCCAAAGCTCTTCTTGAAATATCCTTCAAGCACTCCATAGCCTGCAGGGCGCTTTAGGAAAGACTTCTGGACGAAGTTACAAAGCTGCTCCTCGCCAACTTCTCCAAGTAGATTCTGGCAGCGCGTCTTCGTCACCTACGTTGTCTCATGCCCATGCGCATATCTCCAAGCAAGATTCAATCGATGCCAAAAACAAAGGTAAGGAAGAGGCTGCCGCCGAAGCTGCGAAATTGGGGCGAGAAGCACTGGGAAACGCCGCTGATGTTGGTGCAATCTGTTCCATCCATATATCGGTGTTGCTGACATTGGATGGTAGACCTCATCAGACCTCATCCGGAAGGACCCGTTGAGTAGAAGAGAGATTCTGACGTGTCTGGAAGATCTGCATGATTTGGTACTGAAGGCGGAGCAACTCAAGCAGGAAGAGCCCTTACCTGAAGAAACGCAATTCTATTCTGAGTGGTAGTTATACCGGTGATCATGTGCTGCTGTTCTCTCCTGACGCTTCACACCAGGGAATACGAGTATTCGGGGGTAGTAGACCAAATGTGGAACCAGCTGAAAGTGATGGCACCTATCGCCACAAGGTCAACTTCACCGCTGTATATTTTCACCCTGTATTCATGTTCACTTCTTAGTGACCCACACCCGTTCATGTCCCTCTTGAGTGTGGCCAAAGGCAAGCGGGTCCTCTCCCGCTTGGCGCGTCACTTCGACAATCAGCAGATGCTTACGATGTTGACTCTTCTCATTGCATGCTTCAATCAACTAGATGTCTTCAAACAAGCACCACTGTTGGACACCCTTGAGGATACACCAGAACGCGTAGAAGTAGAGCGACAGACGAACGCCTTCCTGAGCAACGTGCTGCATAGCATCGTTTCTGTTATTAGCAATGGTAGCTTGCGGCTTGTCACGGGCCTTCTTGGATTACTATTGGATCGGAATAATGTTTCGGAAGTTGCACAGACACAAGTATGTCTTTTGCCTTGTCTTCATGAGGGCCTCACTAAAGGTGTCTATAGCCTGGCCTTTCGCTCCTGACACTGTTTCTCACACGAGTCGAAGTCATTAAAGAAGGTGCGGCTGTCCTAGAGACCGAGTTACCAACCGTAGAAGACGCAAATCAATGGTATTGTATCTGCATCGTTTCCAATATGGACCATCCTCCTCATCTCAATTGCAGGCAGCTCATGTTCGACCACATGTTTGAGCAACTCACTCCAGATTTTCCCCTGCTTTTCCCTTCTTCAAGAATCGTCGCTCGTGGGTTTCATCTTAATCAGGCGACTATCGCCGTAGACATCATTGATAGGCCAGTCTGGCAATTCCTCGCCGCTTTGGCCCTTCATGCGCTTCCGGAACAGCAGCCGATCTTGGTACATTCACTGCGTGAGAAGGTTCTCGAAAACGTCGTCGGTGCGAAGAAGGGCTGGGTATCAGACGAGCAAGAAAGGCGGGCAAAACTACATAATGTTGATCTCTTTTTGTCCGCCCTTGGTTTGAGTAGTTCGCAGATTGATTTGTAGTGTTTGTTGTAATTATTTATCGTGCGTTAAATGGTCCAGTGCTCAAGTGAAGGGCAAGATATCTCAATCGTCTCGTACGACTGGAGATGATCTGAACAACGAATCTCCCTGGTGGCCATTGCATTGCGCTCTTGTCTTGGGGAAGGATGTTTGTCTTGTTCTAAGGATTAGGCCATCCGGTCCTTGGCCAAGTCTTTATTGGTGAATTCTTTCTAGTGGCACTATCACGCCGGCGCCTATGTGAATAGTCAATAATTTATTCACGTTTATTGATCAAAATATTGTGTTAAGTGGAGTCTGTAAGACCATCAGCGACGCCGCACCTTTCGGTGTATACGGCGTTGGAGATGTCCTTGGACAAGGTTACTAATACGTGTGCGACGCATTTCCATCTTTCATCAACAGATTTCCTTGGGACCGATATTAATGCGAAAAGATGGGTTAGAAGCGAAGAAAGACTCTACCACTTGAAGAAGACCTCTTTCTTTCAGGACAGAACAGGAATTGTGTATGGTTGCTTCGAAAGGCTTTAAGAGATCCCCTGATACAGAGTAGTCCAGTGCACAGAGTTTAACCACCACTTTCCGCAGAAATCCCATTGCCGGTAGTGTCAAAGCCCGATCAAAAGCTCGCCATCTAGCGGCTTGGAAAAAAGCCGCACAACCTGGTGAATAACCCCAAACCTTCATTTCTACCACAATTGTCACCACTTGAATTCGACATTCGCACTGCAGGATCAAGAACATGTCTACCCACCACTGCAATTGCGTAGAGCAATCCAGGATGGTCACCGTCAAATATTTGAGGTAGGATACATCAAGTGTCTGAATCCTCCCTGCCAGTGTCATGGCCGCGGATTGGTCAAACTGGAATAAAAACGTTCGCTTGAAAGACGTGCAAAGATAAGATTGTCCAAATATCAGATGTTCGAGGGAAGGACAACCCGTCATGATGGATCGGACAGTGCCAACATCATAGTTGCTACATCCATGAATCTTAAGCACTTTGATGCCCTGCAAGTATATCAAAGGATGGGGCTGGTTCAGAAGGCTTTGGACTATGCCGGTGCTGTTCTCCATATCCATGCTCAATTCGCATAGCTTCGGTGGAATCACAGGCGACGGAAACGGAAGCTGGGATACGGAATACGATTGGATGAATGTTCCGAGCGACAATTGCTTCAAGGAGCGGAACTGAGATATGACTGAAAATAGCTCAACGCTGCTGGCAAAACAGACTCGGTCGAGATACAGCGAAGTTATGGGCATTGAGATTAGGGTGTGGTGTAGGGTGGGGTATTGCTCGGCGAGGAAATATCCCCATAGCATGGATTGGACCCTCAGCTCCTTCACATTAATGAGCATCTTCAGAAGGATAGCCAGGTCCCTAGCCCACTGATCGCCAGTGAATTCCCCCCCATGGATACGAAGGACGAGGATAAACTCTGGGATATCCCTCGATGACTGCACCAGTCGATATAACGACTGATAGGATTTTGGGTGAAATGTAACATCTCTGAAGAGGTGTTTGCAAGCACGAGAGCGTAAGAGACGACTGGCGGCGCAACATGTAGCTAGAGATGGCAGATCACACCTGAGCTCATCGACAATAGCGTCAAGAAGCTCCTGAGGTGGTGGTGCTAGAGCCATGAAAGAGCGTTCGAAAGAGCGAGGCAAAGACCAGCAGATGCCACGTCTTCATCTTTTACCTTGGATTACCCCAGATATACTGCAGATCCGTAACAAGTCCTCGCTGTTTAAGCGAATCGATGGGCTGCGATAAAGACGGCCGCAGCAGTGTTGTACGGTCACTCGACTTGAGCCGAAGTCATGGTTGCGGAACTTGGTAGCCTGCTCGCGGAACTCGTACCTGCATATAAGGGCAACTGTTGCCAGTACATTGAGATCATCTAATCATTACTATCGAAAGCATTCGAACAAGCGAAACATCAACATATCTATCATCTATAATCAGGAGTCCGCAATTAAGTATACCATACGTTCTAGAAATGAGTCCGGTGAAGAGAGAGCGTGATAACGTCGACAAGGTCGATTTGTTCTCAACTGTTACAAAATGTCAATCGGGACCATACTAGCCGAGAATGGAGCATACCATGCTGGGACCGTTAAAGGGATCTTGACGGTAGTCTACATGCGACACAGTCAGATTCACATCTCTCAACAAGCTTGAAAGTACATCACTTACCGCAAGTCCCTGTTTCAAATATATGAGCAACGGAATCAATTCAATTGGAAGCAAGGCCTCTTACCGAAAGACTTGTTTCCTTGTATTTCACGCTCATATCCGCCGCCGTAAGTCGCATAGCCTCTATGGCCTCATCAAGAGTCACGCTATACACGCCTTGGCTCGCCATAGATAGCTGAGCAGCCGTGATTGCTTTGACAGCTATGACAAAATGATTAACAACATAATTTTGACCGAGAATCCGACAACTGACCACCGAGACTGTTACGTTCCTACAGTGTTATGAGCAGCCCGTTGGACACCTAGAGTTTAACATTGTGCTCACGATACATGGAACCTGAACCAAGCCATCTATCGGGTCACACGTAAGACCCAGATTGTGCTCTTTCACAGGAGATAATCAATCTGCAAGATCTCCCAGGCAAGTAAATGAATTCACCTATGCCTATCTCGGCCGCCTAGAAGAAGACTTCAATACGAGATTGTTCGGCTTTCATAGAAGACTCACCTGCAATACGGTCTCGGGAGTGGCTAGGGTCAAAAGTAAATGAACCGAAAGAGCAAAAGATTCGGTAAGAAGCTTACCACCCATGCAGGCAGCGAAGCCAGCACTTGCCATGGAACACGCAACTATATAGTCGTCATTAATGAAATAAAACCGTCTACCGAACAAGACTCACCACCAACTTCTGCCTGGCATCCGCCCTCTGCTGCAGATATTGTGCTTCCACGCTTGAATAGCATTCCGATTGCCTATAGAAGAACCTGATAACTAACACCGCAAGCAGTGTTGGAAACAACATACAGCAGCCGTAAGCAGAAAGGTCATGACGCTCTTCTCAGGATCATCGCTAACAAACTGAAACGAGATTAGTTGACAATATAATGACAGAGCCAATCTACCCACCTCAAGAATGTATTTCAAGACCGCAGGAATCACACCTGCTGCACCATTTGTTGGCGACGTGACAATTCTTCCACCACTAGCGTTGACTTCGTTGACAGCAATTGCATAACATGACAGGAAATCCATAGCCGGTATCGTAGTTTTCCTCTGAAACACAGCTAAGAAATCTGTCTATAATAATCATAATAAGAGACTTACCGGAGGCACGGGTAACAGCGGATGATCGAAACTGCCCACCACTCTAGTCATGTTTGTTCTTCTAACGATCTTCGGAGCTCCAGACAGTGGTCTGTTCAGTGTGTTGTCCTTCGTCTCTTCAGTTTCAGGAGAACCGATCGTTCGTACGTCATTGGATGACCAACCTGACCCAATGGCCGGTAAAGTTGGCGAGGCGATACCACTATAGAATCCTCGCATCAATCGTCTGTACAACATGGGTGCCCGCCGACGAAGTCCAAGTCTTCCAGGCAGCGTCGGATCGACAGCAGAAACACCTGTCCGAATACAATCGTCCATGACTTTCCATATTCGAAAAATCTTTTTGAGACGCCTGTCAGCTTCTTTAGCATACATTAGATACGCATTTACTTTATCATGTATGTCACTCTCGGTATACCCAAATGATTTTTCGTTATCATAAACAATTTGTGCAATGGTCATCTAACAGGACAACCAAAGTTTGACGCAACTTGCTTGATGACAATGACCGCTTACATTATGCTTCTTCGTCAAAGCTAAAAGACTGTTCCCCGATTCAAAGGGATAAGGCGGGTGATCGCTGGTGCTAGGAGTATCTCCGGGTGAATTTGATGGCTCTGCTTCGATATGGGGTTCTGACAAGGAGTACGTTTGATGTAGCCTTGCAGCTTGAACGACCCGTTTATCGACACCCTTGTAAAATAAATTCTCATCCACTGTACAGCAACTAAAGTGAGACTTTTGCATCAAACGACTTCTTAAGCCCACCTTTGGTTTTTTCGTTAACAACAAAGCCGCCTCCGACGCTAAATGAAGATGAAGAGTTTTCGGACCAAGAAGTATTCCACACACCTGAAATACTCATTGGTAGCTAGCAGGTCCCCATCTTCTCCGAAGCAGCTGAATCGCATTCCGTTTGGGTGTGTCTTAAGAACTTGGTCCCAGCGCCACAACATATCGCGATCCATGTCATAATGGATTCGATGGTGGCCACCCAAGTAGAGGTACTTGGTTGTCAAGATGGAGTCATACCGAGACGGAATGGTACCAGTATCAATTGTTTCAGGATCGGAGCCTGAACGGACGATTAGCGTCCGAAGGTAAGTTAACAACGCGGGTGTCACCTTCTAGCCCGAGAAGGATGGCTTGAGGTGTATGATGGCTGTATCAAAATTTGAGTCAAACACGAAACGCCACGTAGGCAATAGGATAAATACCCTTTTCCTAATAGAGGGAAAGTGAGAAAATAAGGAATGTATCGAAACATGTCAACGACTCACCCGTGGCAGCGAGCGAACCGTATCTGGACCCAGTGAGTATGTAGGTACCACAAAAAGATAAGAAGCGCTGACAGAGTGATTTTGACCGTCTTCACCTACAAATAATAATGCCAAATGTAAGAGAAACGCGTGAGTGGGCCAAAGCAAGGCACCTTTTCTAGCAACTGCAGCTCCTTTAGATCATTAATAAAAATCTTTCCGGCGCGCATTGGGCCGACTGTATGAGACGAAGACGGACCAACTAGAGAGACGCTGGGCTGCGAAACGCGTGAAAGACTGACGAGTACATACCACCGATGCTAAACAGGTCAAATGCAGATATGACTGCATGCTCTGGTTGCTGGAGCGTCTCTGGAACGGCCACCCTGGTACTGAACTGGGATCGCGATGGACAGAATGGACGACGACGAGCGAAGAGAGGCAGGACCAGGCGGAACATAACGACGGCACACCGACGACGGTCAGTGTCAAGGAAGGGTCGCAACCTCTGATTGGTCGGAGAGAGTAATTGCAAATAATATAGTCTCAAACCTGATTGGCTGCCACAGACGCCTTCATAGGAACGTCACGTGGACAAGGAATTCCTCGCTCAGTGTTGCCGACGCCATTGTCCTTGGACCTTCTCTCCCATCGTTCTTCATCATCTCCACGACGAACCATGTCTTCCAGGACGCCACCGTCGTCTATGTACTCGTCGTCAGTACACCCATCTCCCGTACGGCCTGGTATCCCTTCCGCTTCATCTTCCACGACCAGTCTCCAGGCCTCATCCTCAACCAATACGCTCCCATCTGCCCCTGGTGTTGTTACTGTCGAAGCCTTCCTGGCACAGCATTCTGCGGCTTTCGATCCGAAGCTCGCTGCGCTTGAACAGTCGTTAAGTGAACGCAATACTCTGTCACTGCAAAACGCCCAGCTCTGGAAGCTCATTGAGAAACAACGCTCGGGGTACAATCAAATCCTGAAGGAGCTGGAGCGCGTTCGGAGCGAGCGGGATGGGTACAAAAGCAGGTTAGCCGCTGCTCACAGTTCCTCTCACAGCGACCGGCGACATCGAAACCATGACAGAACCCAGCAGCCTGTCCCAGCCCCGTCGGAAAGCCCTGTTCCTTCCAGCGAAAGTGGGTCGCTGAATGAAGAACGCGCCCCCACTACAAGACATGGTACACCCAGACATCGTTCCGACGAGCAAGGTATCTATCACTGTATTTTCTCTTCGTCTCCGTTTTAACGATTGTTGAAGCGACACCACGACTGCCAACCCATCTCCTTCACCCCATGAGCTCCCAAGAGCCCATATCTCTCAATCGGTCGCCCTTTGCCGATTCTCAGTCTGTGTCGCAGTTCTCTGTGCATACAGGACCATCATCTCTTCCCCCACTGGTCGTCCCTCCACGATCAGAATCTCTTCCTGTGCCCACCATATCAGCTACCCAGGAGACAGCACTTTTGCAGCAGCAGCCTCACCATGTATACTCGGATTCAGTTGTTAGCAGCAATGCCCATTCTCTCAATTCGACTACGAGTACACCGAGCCGGCCTCAGGTCTATACCCGCAAATCTAGTATCACTGAGAGTATATCAAGTGTCAGTACGGCTGGTAATGGCGCACCACTTTCGCTGATACCCCCACCTCAGCAGAGCTCTCATTCACCTTCGTATCACGCTGGGTTTACACCACAAACGGCCTCCTCCGGTTTCATATCTACACCAATACACACGCACCCAGCCCAACAGCCGAGTATAACCATATATAATTCCCCGACTACCCCCGTGCCACTACCTCCTCAGCCTCAGCCGGGTTGTTCCTCTGTGCTTTCTGTCGATGCACGGCAACTTTCACGAGAATCTCGTATCACTCTTCCGGATGAAGCGAGAAATTACATCGCAAATATGGTGGACTCTCCCGTTCCGAGTCCAAGAATGAATGATACTTTCACTGCTGCAAGGTCTTCTCTGGCTGCAAGTGCCAGTGGCGGTGCAACGCCAGATACCCAAAAGAAAAACGAGTTTCTTGACATGGATGAGGAGGATCCTCCGGATGAAGACGAAGAAGAGGAGGATACAGACGAAAGGGAAGTGCACGGCGCAGTTGAGCCGGAAAACCCGGGCTTTACTCCGGTCCAAGCGACATCTCCGACGTCACCACATGGCCGGAAAAACAAGCCTCGAGCAGTTGCTGAAGACTTTCCACTACCACCATCGGATACCAACTCGCAGAATCAGGCGCATGCTGTTGCCCAGGCGCGTGCCGCAGCAGCACTTTCGCCTCCACAGCGTCCCGGTGGCTATTATCCTGATCCTGACCAAATAGAGCCACTACAACAAGATATGCGTGAGACGCCCAATGTACCTGCGTTCCGTGCCCTTCCCTTACTCTCCTCCGATCTTCCTCGCACAACAATCAATGTGTCGCATTCCTTTGTTAGACCAAATGACCGTGGCAAGGAAGTTCTTTCATTCGTGGTGGAAGTTAACCCTGGCAACGGCAAGGACGGATGGAAGGTGGAGAAGATGTACGCGGACGTTCTGAACCTAGATCAGAGGGTGCGAAGCAGCGTCGGGAAAGGCGTTGGTAAGAAGATTGCGAGCTTACCGGAGGGTAAGCTCTGGAAAGACCATGCCCCGGCTAAAGTCGACCAGCGAAAGGTAAGTACCCCGCTAGATGTATTTGCTTTGACCGTTCAATGGAATGCAGGCCGTCCTTCAAAACTATCTTCAAACCCTGATCAAACTACCGGTGAAGAATAACGACGAAGTGATCGCGTTCTTCACGTCTGACATCATGCGCGAGATGAATCAGCCTGTTATGCAAGCCGGACACAAAGAAGGATATCTGACTAAACGCGGCAAGAACTTTGGCGGATGGAAAACCCGGTACTTTGTCCTGCAGGGTCCTGTACTGGAATATTATGATTGTGTATGTGGTTCCATATATTCATGCTGTCTCCGGTTTTAAATAAGTTTCTCAGCGCGGTGGAGCACATCTGGGCTCAATAACCGTCACAGGAGCCCAAATTGGTCGACAACAGCGGACGGAACGGCCTACAACTACGGATGAAGAAAAAGAGTACCGGCACGCGTTTCTCATTGTCGAAGCCAAAAAGGGCCAGGGGGGAAATCATCCACGGCACGTCCTGTGCGCAGAAAGTGATGCCGATCGTGACAGTTGGGTTGAGATGCTGGTGCGCTACTTTTCTGGGACATACAGCGAAGAAGCAATACCATATTCCTCGAGTTCCTCGAGTTCGGGACCGTACACAAACGGCACCACGTCAGCGACCCTGAGTGAAGGGACATCTGCATCGATATCTACGCCGGTGACTGTGCGGCGGCCTGTGCGAGGCGTGTCGAAGGACGACATATCTGTTTCCAAACAGGCTGCAGTGCCGATCTCTCGACTTGCGCCGGACGCCACTAACGCGAAGCTCTTTTCAGGTCCGGTGTTGCCGGACGAATACAGCACTATCACGCGATCCTCGAGTCCGTCGAAATCTGTTCAGGAAGCATCTCCTACTGAGCGGTATCCCGGGCCAGCTATGTCGGATGCGCAGAATGCGCGTCGCATTCTGGAACGAGGACAGGCCCTCGCATCAAGTTTACCTGATTCGTCCCCTCTGACAAGTGCCAATGGGGCTAGTGGGACGGATCGCTCGCAGTCTGAGTTGGGACACTATTCAGACGTGCCTCGAGCGACGCGCTCTCCCGAACGCCATCGCGAGCGAGACCACAAGTCGTTGCATCCGTCGCCTACGCCTGACCGCGACAGGGCTCCTTCGCCTGATGGGAAAGTGAAGATATCTGGGCCGTTGAATGGAGCGCCGATTCCAGCTGGGTACAAGTTTGGATCCGGGAGGGATCCGCAGGGCGAGTCGGGGAGTGATCGACGAGAGAAGGCCAAGTCGAGGGGCTTCTGGGGTTTTGGGAGGCCGAATGGTAAGTGTGTCATCGATAATTGACTGGGTTGATGAAATGCTTGTTCCTAGGTGCGGAGAAGCCGCCTTTACCGCGACCGGTCTTTGGAGTGACTTTGGAAGAGTCACTGGAAGTTTCGTCAGTAGCGCATCTTCCTTCGATTGTCTTCCGCGCGATACAGTACTTGGAAGCGAAAAACGCAGAACAGGAGGAGGGCATCTATCGCCTTAGTGGAAGCTCTGCTGTGATCAAGAATCTTAAGGACATGTTTAATGCAGGTGGGTGCCTTTCCAGGCTATACGAAAGGCACTGACGGCTTGCAGAGGGTGACATCGATTTGTTGGCTTCGGACGAGTACTGGGATCCGCACGCAATTGCAGGGCTTTTGAAAAGCTTCCTCCGAGAGCTTCCTGCGAGTATACTTACACGGGAGCTACATTTGGACTTCCTTGCGGTTATGGAACGCGATGACCCGCAGGAACGGGTTCGGACGCTGTCGCACCTAATCGCATCGCTGCCAATAGCCAACTATAGCCTCTTGCGAGCCCTAACTGCGCACCTCATCTTGATTGTGCAGAACTCTGCAGTGAACAAGATGTCGATGCGGAATGTAGGGATCGTGTTTAGCCCGACATTAGGCATCCCTGCTGGGGTGTTTAGCTTGATGCTCGGCGAATTTAATCAGGTGTTCAATGTGGGTGATGTTGAGGAGGAGCTGGGGGAGCTAGAGGTAGATACGCGACGGAACAGTCGGCAATACACTGATGGAGCTGCCGACGAGTTGCTGGGATTGGCTGGGCGGACGCTGTCGGCACCAGCGGAGAGCGATGGGGAATATTCGTCGTCGGTGGCAGACGATACGGACGGGGAGAGTGCGGTTTCGGGACCTGACGCTGGGACGCCGCCTGATACACCTCGACTGAGCAAGGCTGCGGGAGTAGCTGCGACGCGTGGGCTGAATGTTGCAGTGAGTGAGAGGGGAAATCGGTACTCTCGAATTGTCGGGAGTGCCCGGGCGCCTCCAAGTCCTGCGCCATCTGGCTCGCCTATACCGTTGTGATTTGCATTCTTTTTGGCTCATCTTGAACATTGTCATCTATAGCATTTTCGATTGTTGTGTTTATTCTATACCCTGTGCGATGTGGAACGTGTATTTTGTGTCACATGACCAAGCATAAATGAATTTTTTAAGCGCTGGCCAGCGCCTTTTTTTTTTTGCATCTCGACAACGATGGGCTTTCGCCACGCAGCTGTCCTAGGACCTGTATCATTCTTCCTAGGTGAGCAGAAAGTTGTATATTTGTGCGGTGCTAATCTAATTTGAGCAGGAATTCTGTCTATTTGCTTTACGCTGGACCATGCGCTTCTCTGGCGGCCTCTCACGGCAGAAATTATCTCGGACGGGTTTCAATTCTACACGACTTTCTTCAATGCGCCTACAGCGATTAAAGCGTTGCTACATGCCATGATGGGAATTGGACTGGTCGGGCTTGTGAGCAAGTTGCACAAGTGGGACGACAGTGCGATGTTTTTTGATGGGTCGTCACTGGGTCTCCGAACGTCTTTTTCTTCAGTCTTGAGAAACTTATCTTTCCACAGGTGCCTACGTGTTTGCGATCGCTGTATATTTGACTGTGATCATCCCTACGCTGCGTACGATAGCGACACCGCTGGAAGACGAGACTAGGGAGGACCGTATTGAGGCCATGCGGGTGCTGAGTGCTGCGAATGTGATCATTGTGGTGTGCCTTGGTGGGATCCTGGCGCTGCAGGTTAGTAGCTTTTCTGGGGCTGGGGGCATGGTGCTGAACTGATGGTGCCGCAGGCTGGGCAAGAGTGGGAACGGCGTGGAAGAGATTTGAAGGAGAAGAAAGAGAAAGCGGGGAAGAAAGAGTAGAGTGGAGTGGAGTGGAGTGGAGTGGAGAGAGGCTAGAACGGAGAGGGTGGGTGTTATTGTGGTGTGTTTGTTTCTGGTGGTAATTGGGCCGTCCATGGACCGCATCAGTGCATCAGTGCGAGTTTCTCACAAGCGTGGGAAGGGGTGAGATTGTAGATCTGTGATGCTAAATGGGGATATGGATTAACTCGGAATTGGATAATAAATAAATAATGGATCTAGATTCTCTGAAGAAAGATTGGAGAGAAATAAAAGGGCTGGCCTCATGATGGCTTGGAGGCACAACGATGGACGTCGACTGGTGTTTGACTTGTGAACGCCATTTGGTGCGTCCTTTCCTTCTTCTTGTCCTCCTCATCGTCCGAGACCGTTGCTAACCGTCTTGCAGAGCGGCTCATGGACGTATTGCTCCCCAGAATGCCAGAACAGAGGTCCCGCTAATGTACGGGTCCTGCCCTCCTCGTCCTCGAGTGCAGAGAGCGACGAGGAGCCCATCTACCACACCATTCACGACGTGTCGCCCTCGTCCTGGACATGGGAGAAGATACATGCATGGGCAACCGTGATCCCTGAGGTGGTGCCGGTGCCCCGACCACAACGCCCATACCGGACCCCAAAACTGCTTAGCCAGCGTCGGACGCCGCCCACCGTCGCGATGACCATCCCAGAGCAGAGTCGTTCAGACCGCTCCCTTCCGATATCCCTTCCAAAAAGGCCGGCCACCGTTCTAGCTACGCTCGCCGACCACTTACGGACATGGGCTGTGTCCCGCCCTTGCTTCCCGCCCCCGCCGTCACCGACGGACTCGTTCATCACCCTTTCTTCTATGCCCTCATCCCCTTCCTCGTCCCAATATGAGGAAACCGCCTCACTGCCCATCAAATACCGCCCCCAAGACGAGCGTCCGCCGCCCCAGACCCGCTTCCTCCACCAGCCCCCTTCTCGCCATCCCCAGGTTCGTCTACGTGACGACCACCATGCTGCCTTTCGTATGCGGGGTCGCAAACCCCGTTCATAACACACACCTCTGCATTGCATCTCTGTTTTGGAATGGACTAGCTCTTTCTTGATTCTACCGGGTATCCCCAGTATATACTACACAATAGACAGCACGGATATGTATGATATGTAGCCTTGTACACCAGCATTGACAATACAGCTCACTTCCATCAGACACCTATCAGCATTGCTTCCGTCGTTCTGTGCATCTTCGACGGTCTAGACGGCCAATCCTTCACTACCACCACCACCTGTATTATTAATTAACTCCGTTACATACCATCTTCAAATTTTATCCCAACCCAAACGCCACCCGCCTCGTCACCCCGCCTCCCTAACTGTTTATAGCTAGCCCTTGTCCTAAATCACCGGACAACTTATCTCAAATAGAAATTACCGGTTCAGCTAACCCCCCTCCCCCCCTCCGGTAACTAAACACTACCGCATCTGCCAGGGCAATCCCAAGGGGAAAAACAATCAGACACCCGACGCAGATACCTCAACCAGGATACATACATGCCACTTGACGCTGTCTCGGTGCCGCAATATTACACCACCCCAAACAGTGCCACAATTTTTAAAAAAAAAAAAAAAAACCCACCCACCTGAACGTTCCTAGGCGCTAGCGCCTAGGACGATTGTCCCTCTTTGGACTTCGGTGCCGCACCACTTTCGAAACCCAGGGAAGAATGCGATAAATTCTGAAATTCATCACCATAATTCAAATCCACGGTTGTCGCCGCGCACAATCGGCACCGCCCCATCAAAGTCCAACAGAACAATTCCTAGCTACCAACCTGGAACGCCCTGGAAAACGTACTACACAAATTCGGTCCCGCGAACAGTGCAATCCAAATGCAATCCAACTCAGGGAAGCATAATATTTGCAAGGAACAACCCGACCCGATTCCAATGATTTGGTTTCCACTGGCCTTTTCTAGCTCAAGAGCGCACACCTTCGAACTTTGTAAGTAAATACTCTGTGTCATACCCAGGGCGGGTCGAGGCGTGATCCACTGAGACGGCCTTACATAAATGGTTCAGTACCGCCTTCAAGGTAACGGGTGGCCTGGCTCCCCCCCCCCCCCCCTCCCTCGCGGATCATATTAATTTTACTGCAGAGGAATAATTGTCCGGTCACCAGACTACGGAAGTCGGTACGAAAGACGTTCGGATGGTCGGAACGGCGCTCGAAGGGGAGGCCCGACGTCCGACGTCTTTCTGTAACGTCGGCTCACGGACCGAGCTGACTCAATAGTCGGTGCACCCACCCACAAATGTCGCAAACTATGCTTTTACGAAACGGTATTTTCTCCAAGTAGCTAGAGAATTCCAACTTGGCAACAACCAACTTACTGTCACTTGACCTGATAATTCAGTTTTCTGCGTTGAACAACCCAAATAGGCATTATTATACCTCCGCCTTTGTTTGTACCTGTCTTTTTCACAAGCCTTTCGACTTTGCTCTCATCGTTGTAAAGAACAAAAAAAAAAAAACACGGTCCCCGCTCGCTGTTCACCATGGTGCCCTTCTACCCTCGTTATTATTCCCTGGCCAGCATGCTCACTGTTACCTGCAGCCTCCACCAAAATCAAAAGGGGGCAAAATGCTCTCCCTGATCAACTGGCGTCTCAAGGTCACCATCAATGACGGACGCGCGCTCACCGGTCAGATGCTCGCATTCGACCGGCACATGAACCTTGTTCTTGCAGATTGTGAAGAGTTCCGTAGGGTACGAACAAAGAAGAAAGACGCAGGTGAGGTGGGCTCTGGTCAGGAGCAGGAGATCAAGCGCACCCTTGGACTTGTCATTCTTCGCGGCGAGACTGTCGTCAGCATCAGCGTGGAGGGACCACCGCCCGTCGTTGATGAGGATAAGAAGAATGCTGTATGGTTTACTCGTCCCTGCGCCTGGACTTTCTTACCTATTCAGCCGCCTTTAGCTACCCGTTGGTCCAGGTCGCGGTATGCCTGCGGGTCGTGGTATGGGCATGATGCCCCCGAGTGCGTATCCCATTTTTTTTGGTTTTACTTGCAACTCGATCATGACCATTTGTAGTTGGCCAGCCGCCGATGCGTCCACCAATGGGCTTCCCCCCTGGCGGCATGCCAGGTCCTCCGCCTGGTTTTCGACCCCCAGGCTTCCCTCCTGGTATGCCTTTCCCTCCTCCTGGGTTCACCGGTGCTCCTCCTCCTGGGTGTGTTTTCTGTCTTTCCGAATCGTCTTTGGCTGACCCTATTATGCTCAGCTTCCAACCGCCTCAGTAGCATGGTGGTATAGTTTTGCTTGGATCTGTTTTTGTCTTCAATGTAATCTCAGTACTCGGTGCTTGTTTTCCGCAATGCAAAAGAACCCGTTGTTCATGTTTTTGCTTCACGTGGTCGTTTTCTATTTCCTTTTCCCTCGACTCCGGCCTCTGCGCCCCTTCCCAAAATTGTGGACGTCCAGATCGTGACTGGCCCTCAGAGTCTATCGCCAGGAACGTCCCCTTTAATGGCGAAAGGTACCGCCATCGACCTCGAACACTTGCTCTACTTGGCTACAATCTGAACCTAAGCTGCTTCTGTCGATGCTCAGCGGTAGCGGTACCGATGTTACTCTCCATAAATGAATAGAATAGACTGTTTCCCGTCGATGAACCTAGTACAATCATCCTTCAAGCTGCTAGTGCTCTGGTGTAGTCCCCTCAGTAACCCTGTTGATCTAGCTGCGGGTCGGCGTCCTCGCGTGAAGCCATAAAGACCCCCCCCCGATTCTCTTGATCTACACTATGAATAGCTAGCTATAAAAGTTCCTGGAAGGCATTCCATCCGCTACGGTTCTCATGCAATAGAGGAGACTCCCGGATCGCCTTAGACCCGGGTCGGGCAGACGGTGTTTTCCCATCGCCAGACAAACACCGACAGCACTCAACTGATTAGCTCGAGATCCTACTGCGGTGCGGTCTCCGCCGTCCGGAGAAGATCAGTCTTCACAACTCGCGGTACGTACCCAGGCCTCTTGAGAATTCGAAGGTGGGACCATGAGTAACGGTTCACACACCATCAGCTTCCCTGTTCATGAGTAGCAAATCAGGACGTCTTCTTGGTCTTCTCATTCACTTGCACGCAGGAATAGCCTTGGATACGGAAATACTAAGCATCACCCTACTAGAGTTAAATATACCGGCACTATGTACACTACAGTCCACCGCCTCTCCGAGATATTGGACACTAAAGAGCATCGCCTTCCTGCTTGGATACTTCAACAGCATACCCTCGCATCAAGGTTCTCTCACGTACATCATACTCTGGTCTTTCGTCTTCTTTCGATGATGATGATGATGATATACAACTTGCCCTTGGAAACCGACACGCCGTAAACGCGAAGAATGACGGCAGGCCCAGCAATCAGTCTAGGTGCCATAAGCTCCTCCCGCACGAGTTGAATGGGTGTACAATGTTGATCCATATGTCCGCATTCAGCTGGAGAGTTAGATCGGCCTCATACAGGCAGGACCCACGTCCGCGATATCGGAGAAACGGGTGCAAATCTTCGAAATTCGTGTAGAAAAGAACAGGCTACGTGACCTGATCATTGGGTTGAAATTTTCAAAACAGCTCCCAAGTGAGATCTAGCTGTATCTGAATCGAAGAAACTGAGCGTTGATCGAGGAATCGCACTGTGTGAGAATTGCATTCTCGGATTGATCAGAATGTTGACATGAGAATGTTGAAAGAGCCCCAACTTTATTCTGGACAAATGAAGAAAATTTCCAGTCCAGCTATTCGTAGCCGATATTCCAGTGTGTGTGAACCTTCCAGCTTCACGCAGAGAAGGGAGGGAAACGGGAGGGAGATCCTAGTGATCCGAAACACAGCCACCCGATCCGAATTCCTATTTCGCGCCCCGTATTCCTCTCGATAACGATTTGGATTTATATAGAACGACTGGAAAGAGTTCTCCTTCAAAGCAGCCAATAAAATTCTATCTGGAGGAAGCGATTTCTTGGTGGCACCCGACACAACTTTCACACTGTCGATTTCGTCGGAATTCGCACTTGACCATCTTCTCTGATCGAAATAAAGTTGTACAGACCAGGGTACATATTTCACTGACTCACGTCACCCCTCACGCTTGCAATCCAATCGTTTGAAAATATCAGCCAATGGATGGCTTGAGTTAAGCAAGTGTCTCATCCAACGCCAAAATTTTGGGCTCGACATGAACTAGTTGGGGTTTTCCAGGGAATTCAAGAAGACTATTTTGTTCCAACAGTAATAATCTCGCAATCTGCCAGACCCAGCAACCTTTTAAATTTAAAATTCGTTCATCGTTCATCCAATCTCTGCAAAATGATTTCGAGATTCAAGTCAGTCAAGTTACAGGTTGTGTACTATCCCGTAATGTGGCGAGTCTCGTCAGTCATCTACATTGCAATTGGTGCACGAACATGAACAGCTTTTGAATTTAGGATGGATAACAGCTGATCTTTTATTTTACTCTGTCGTGCGCACCGCAGCCATACTTGCCTATAACTGACCCACTTTTAGTGCCATTTAAGCGGATCCCATCGTCCACTGGGGCGGAACAGCGGCACGACCTTTGCTATTCACTCTCGTGATCATATTGGTAACTGCCGTAAAGGCCTTGCACATACTTCGTGTAGAGTATATATATCGCCGCTAGTTATCGTACTCATCACAGCAACAAAACACTTTCAAGATGCAGCATCCAAGACTACTGTGGAACCACGCTACCATCAAGTTCGAACTTTAAAAAAAACATGATCCACCCACGAGCCCGCAAAAGTACTTACGTTGTAAGGAAACAATTCCGCCCATATTACCGATCGGGATGTCCGAGTTGGGTGGAGAACGGACTGAGGTTGCAGGTTGATGTAGCTGTTGAAAAGACAATCAGGCATGTCGTCATGCTGCCTATCGTAAGAATCTATGCAAGATCCAGATAAATACTATAGTGTAAAGAGATAGACATCAATATATCATAGATTGGCCGCCCTTGACTTTATAAGACAAAAATACAAATGAAAGTAGACTCCTCACTACTGGCAGCAATGAACCTCAGAGGAACCGCCCTCATCTCGGCCCCTGATCTGATCGCTAGTGTCTTTTCAATTTCTCCATCAATCGCACACGATTCTAGCTAGGTCAGTGCTCAAGCGTTCATTATTGGTATTTACCATATCCAAGTCTCTGTAGCTTGTACCGCGCCCTGGGTTCCTCCCCTCTCTTTTCAATTGCTTCGTCGTTTGTAGCCGCCATTGTTTTTATGTCGCCTATTCACCGCTCAGCTGCAGCTTATTTCAGAAAGAATGGAACGTCAATTTTTCACTGGCTGAGGAGGCTCGGGTGTGACCCTAGCCGAAACAAAGTTGCCAAGCTTCCCGTTCACGTTCCTGCCAAAAGCTTCTCATTCCACATCTCCTTCTGTGTGACAATTCTCGCTCACCTGCTCTATAAATGTCCCTACAAAATCGGCAAAGCTCAAGAGTTGGAATACTTGAGATAGAGTAGTTAAAGTTTGGTCCACACAACATACTTGGGCCTTAGGTCCTCCATGGATTCCATACCTTACTACCTTACTCCACCTAGGCGCATGATTCGGTGAGCTCTCTGTATCCTCCGCGGGATTGCTTAAGCTTCTATATATCCGAATACAATGCGACCAAGTCTCCTAAAATCCGGATCTCCAGCGCTGACATCACGCGCGTACTAGTATTCTGATTGTGGCTTCCGATGCTCCCTCTGTCGCAATAGTACTCCTTTCAAGGTTTGAACAATGGCTAAGTATCATTGCACCCGGACCCGCTTCTTCGGAGACTTGTACTTTCCCTAGGCTTCGCTGAGATCCGTGCAAGCACAAGTGATCTGGGCAGATGGATTCACCCCCTTTCCCTCCATGTACGGTATGGTCTGCAACACCATATGCCTTGCGATCATCGTTCCCTAGACTTCCTATGACCTCAAAATCTAAAAAAAAAAACGAGAGGCGAAGGTCGACATATGTCATTTCGTTTAATTTTTACCTCGATAATCAACCTGAGAATCACTTGAGGAACTTTTGGTGCTGAGTACTAGTCATATCTCGATCCCGGCAATACAGAAACAGCGGAATCCGTCACCAAAAACTGCGACACATGACAACCAAAGGAATCAGCTACCAAGTACCAATAATCATCTTGACGCGATCCTTCAAACTGACAGGAAATGACATGACCAGCACCGTATGTTTTAGACCAAGCCAAGAATGAGTTTTTGATTCCGTCACAATTTACAACAAGGTAGCTAACAGTACAATTCATCTTTCTATAGAAAGATTACATTAAGGTTTGTTCCGACAACATGGTCCAACATAGGCGCACCTACTTCTCTATATGGTGCATTAATGTACAATTTCGACCGTGAGATCGCCTTGGTTGATGGAGTCGCCTGCACGAATAGAATGAATCGTTAGCTCTGACTGAGCATCAGAACGATAGAGATAACATGCCTTCTTGAACAACCACCCGCTTGACGTGTCCAGAAACCGGCGCGGTCACCGCAGATTCCATCTGTTGTTCTTTGATCAGGGAAAACATTACAAGTCGTCAAGCATCGCACTTGCCTTCATAGCACTCAGTACTGTACATGTTCAAATCAGAAAATAGCATGTCTTGGCATATTCAATTCACTCACCGCAAACGGGGTCTCCCTTCTTGATCTCTTGGCCTTCCTTCACCCTTACCTCCACCACGACTCCGGACATTGGAGCGCCAACGGAACCTGGGTCCGTGGTCGCCTTCTCCCGCGAAACCGTTTCAACAGCAGAATTCTTGTCTTCCACGGACACGGCTCGGACCTGAAATACCACAGTACATCAGCGGCACGTCTCCAGTGAAGAAAAGTAACAGGTACCTCTCCATTCACTTCGAACCAAACGTCGCGCTGAGCACGCCCTTCGACCACCGGTCCGACGGCCATAAGACGGATGATCAACGTCTTTCCCTTCTCAATAGAGATGTGCATTTCTTCGCCGACATCTGGGCGACCCAAGAAATATCTCGTGGGAATGACACTGAGAACCCGAGTCAAGCGATGCAACATCAATTCGTTCCAGGGACACACCTCAGATCACCATACTTCTCAATAAATCCCTGGTATTCCTCGAACACCTAATTGTCCTGGTTAGTATATATCTCCAAAAACAAGAATCGATTAATAGCATACTTTCGGGTACATCACATACGAAGTAACATCAGCGTCTGTGATATGTTTACCGAACTTGCTTCGTAACTCCGCTTTGATCTTCTTGAAGTTCAGGGGTTCCATAGTTGCGCCCGGACGGCCGTCAATTCTTGGCTTATTCCTGATGATTTGAGTGCGCAGAGGCTCAGGGAATCCTCCCACAGGCTGTCCAAGATAACCTTGGAAGAATTCCACGACCGATGACGGGAAGTCCAAATGCTCCGCACGCTCGAGGACATCTTTCTTGGTGAACGAGTTGGATGTCATCCATTGGGCAAAGTCACCAACAACCTTCGATGACGGTGTAACCTTGAGGGCAGTCAGCACCTGTATTCAGACCAAACTGGTGGTGCCATTGACCTTGATGATATTTCCGCACTATTGAAAACATTAATCAGCGCATATTACCGAGAATATGATATCAACTTACCAGTTCGTTGGCTTCAATGTATTTTTGCTTGATGACTGCACGATTGTCAGGACACCGTCTTCTGAGGGACGAAGAGGAAACACTTGCCGGTCCATTGTGTCCCCAGGCCGAGCTGAGAAGCTTGGAACTAACACATGACCACTTAATCATTGATAATTGGGAGGTTAACGACTGCGTACCATGAGGTTGGTATATTGACCACCTGGCATCTCGTGATCGAAGACACTCGAGTCGGAAGCCCTGACGTTAGCCTCGAAGCAGCTGTACAACATACGAACCTGACTCCAGTACAAGTTGAGTGCTTGAATGTCTTCGAACCGGATGCCTGTGCCAAGAGACGTTTGCTCAAGTGCCATACAAACGGCACCCATTGATGGTTGGGACGTCAAGCCCGACATGCCTGTCGCACAGAAAAGACGAACCTAAGTTCAACTGTGCGACATAGAGAAAGAAGACACACTGACTGTCTATAGCAACGTCAACGACATCAGCACCTGCCGCAGCACAGGCGATCATGCTCGCAGCAGCGATACCCGCGGTATCGTGCGAGTGAACATGGATAGGAAGATCAGGGTGTCTTTGCCTGATGGCACCAATCAAGCTTGGGAAAACGAGAAAATAGGGTGAGCAGACAGTTTCTCGTATGAGCTATGATGGACACTCACATCTTGGCAGCCTCGGGTTTCAATAAACCGGCCATGTCCTTGACACCAAGAACATGGATTCCTTCCTTGACCAATTGGTCGACGAAGTCGAGATAGTATTTCAAGGTATACTTGGTCTCCGTGGGGCTGGCAACATCTCCGCTGTAGCAAACAACAGCTTCACAAACACCACCAGCCTTTTTCGCAGCATCTATGCCAAGTCTCATCTACAAACAGTGTCAGAAAAGGTGCTCTTTCTATGAATATCAACTGCTCACATTTTCTATTGTGGAAAATAAGAGGTATCATTGGGTGAACATACACGATTATTAATTTTAAACTTACCAAAGTAGTTCAAGGAATCGAAGACACGGAAGATGTCGAGTCCATTCTCGACAGCCTTCTTGGAGAAGTCGTAGATTGCGTTATCGCTGAGAAACAATGTAAGTTACGACATGGGATACGATTGCAAAGATACACACGGATAACTGGTGTAACCCACTCCATTGGCACCACGGACGAGGGCTTGGAATGGAATGTTGGGGACGAGCTTCCTCAAAGTCCTCTAAATGATCAACGTCATTAGAGCCAATTCCCTGGAGACCCAATGTACTTACTAATCGCTCCCATGGATCCTCGTACAGGAACCTCATAGCCACGTCGAACGTGGCACCACCCCAGCACTCCAAACTGTAACAATTAGCCAGTGCGTAACTCGTCTCCTTGGCGATGTTGACCATATCAATAGTCCTCAAACGGGTAGCAAGCAAAGACTGGTGGGCATCACGCCAGGTAGTGTCCATGATCAGAGTTCCGGGATATTCGCGAACAGCCTTCGCAAACGCCTCTGGACCTTTCTCGACGATGATGTTTCTCCAACCAACTTCACAAGGATAGGTGGTATCAAGGGGTGCACCATTGAGAGGGTCTTCACGGCTTTGGAATTTAGGGATAACCACTTCGTCTTTGAGACCTGGTTCGCCCTTCGGAAATCCGTCGTCGGTGCTTTATCGTGTCAAAGTCAGAAAGATGGTACTTACGGTCTGTCCCTTGATAGAGCTGCCATTGACAGCAAGGTCTCCAAGATAAGCAAGCAGCTTTTGGGCACGGTTTTGACTTTGAACTAGCTTGAAGAGATCGGGGGTGTCATCGATAAACTGAGAAGGGATTTGAATTCGCCTGCAAACCTCTACAGAAATCATAGGGATCTTACCGTGGTCCAGGTCTTACCACCGATGAAAATGTCATGCGTGAGCAGTCGGAACAGGAAGGGAATGTTCGTCTAGAGACCAAACGCGTTATCGGGGTAAATTCAAATACGCATCGGAACACAAACCTTGACACCACGGATTCGGAACTCCACAAGGGCTCGTAGCATCTTTCGTCGGGCGACTTCGTATGTCGTACCGCTGACAGTACATTTAACAAGCAAACTGTCGTAGTGAGGCTGAAAACTAGTGAACCGTGTCCAAGTCACACTCCAATGTACTCACAGTGATTTGGGCACCGGCAAAGCCTGAGGATGCATCGAGACGAACGCCGTTGCCGCCCGCACTTCGGTACACTTCAATTTTTCCGGTATCGGGTTGGAAGTTCTGCGCAGCATCTTCAGTGGTAACTCGGCATTGTATAGCGAATCCCCGCTTGGTGATTGCATCTTGGGTAAGGCCAAGCTGTGGCAATGTGGCACCCGCCGCAATTTGGATTTGTGCGGCAACAATATCAATGCCAGTAATCTCCTCTAGACAAGAATAAGTCGAATGAACAATGTTGACAGTAAAAACCGCACCGGTGATCGTATGTTCGACCTGAATACGCGGGTTGATCTCAATAAAGTAGTGTCGTCCCATCTGGTCGACCAAAAACTCTGCTGTCCCCGCATTTCTGTACCCTACACTCTTGGCTAGCTTGATCGCGTCGGACAAAATTGCCTGCCTGACTTCCTCGGGGAGATGAGTTGCCGGCGCCACCTCCACAACCTTTTGATGACGTCGCTGTACAGAGCAATCACGTTCAAATAGATGGATTGTGTTACCCTGGGCATCGGCCAAGAGCTGGACTTCAATGTGACGGGGACGTTCGAGGAAACGCTCAATGAACACGGTTCCATCACCGAAAGCAGACTTGGCTTCACTAACAGCACGCTCGAACGAAGACTCAAAGTCAGACTGTTCCCGTACGACACGCATACCACGACCTCCACCTCCCATGGCAGCCTTGATAATAACTGTGGATGGTGATGAGAGATTGTCCCAGTTCTACACGAGAAAAAGGAACGTACCTGGGAATCCGTATTCTTGGATGAATGCGGCTCCCTCTTGGTAAGACTCGACGGGTCCTGGGGTTCCGGGAACAACGGGAACACCACATTTCATAGCTATTCGACCATCAGTGTCAGACTTAGTGGAGAAACGAGACGAGAGAATAAGACGCACCAAGTGTTCGGGCTTTGGTCTTGTCACCCAGACCATCGATTACTTCTGGAGAAGGTCCAATGAAAGCAAGGCCAGCTTGTTCAACCTTCCTCGCAAAGTCTGCGTTTTCGGAGAGGAAACCATAGCTGTGATCGATGATAAGAGAATTAGTATTATACCAAAAGCTGAAGGGCGTACCCAGGATGGATCATATCGACACCATGTTCCAATGCGATCCTGATAATATCGTCCTGGGCCAAGTAGGCGCCAACGGGAGTTAGACCCTTGCCGACTTGGTATGCCTCGTCGGACTAGAAGACCCTAGGTGAAAATGCCAGATGGATGCAACGAAGAGCGTACCTTCTGACGATGGGCAGATAAGCGATCCTCATACGAGTAGATGGCGACAGTGTGCATTGCCAGCTCATGAGCAGTGCGGAATACACGGATGGCGATTTCCTGGATATGCTAGAGTACAGACGGAGTGACCTGAAGGAATACAAAAAGAACATACGCCTCTGTTTGCAACAAGAATCTTGGTCAAAGGCCCGGAATGGCCAGCGGACTTCCTCCTCATCGTCTGGATGGAATGAACGGGCGTACCCGGAGCGCTGGGGGTGCCAGCAAAGATTGGAGCGAGCCTTGGGGGATGAAGGGTGGTCATGGTAAGGAATCAAGATGGGAAAAGAAGGAAACGACGCGTTGAAGGAGAGGTAAAGGCGTCGAGAAGATGATGGTGGTCAAAAGGAGCTCCGTTGGGGGGGGTGATTTGGTATCGGGGCCTCGTGTGGCATTGATACTGATGGCGATCTAATCAAAAATATAATTATATAAAATAAGGTCGCCGCCACTGGTTCGACGGCAATAACGCGGCTGCCCCGCATCATCCCCGTCTCACTACAGTGTAGCCGCTAGCGACAATAATTCCAGCTTAGGGGAACCTCGCAGTCCGCACTGGCCAGAGTAAACTTTATGCGCAAACCCGCGCCGCCGTCCGTCAGGAGTATCTCGCGCATCCTTCGGGTCAGCTGGGGTCAGCTGGGCGACCATATAATATTTACGGAAATATTGGGTGTCGCAGCCTCAGGGCAAGGAACGGCAGTCTTTAGGGGATTTGAGAGCGACGCGCTGCATCAAGCCTGGTCCAAAATTACCGGCATTAAAGAGACAAATGGTGTCAAATGAACGCGAGTCGGCAACGCTCTACATTCCAGACAGTTCTCCGAATACTCCAGCATGTAGACGCCGAGCATTTCTTGGCTGCCAAGGACCAACGACTCGCAGGCGATAGTCCCGTCACGGCAACGTTGCTTTGATGATTGGCGAGTGCTTGACGCAAACGACTTCAGGATGCCGATAATGTCTCATCGTATGGAAAAAGTAATTCCTCGAACAGCTGCGCAATTCGACTTGCTACGGGAAACACAGTCGTTAATAATGTTAAAGTGCTAATTCACTTTCCAGCTCAGTTCCGACAGTCATCAATGGCTCAATCTATGATAAGGACCAGCAACCGTAATGAAACGTTATTCAAGTATCAAATTTCGCATCCAGACATTTGTAATGGGAGCAACTCGCCGGCCTCGACCAGATCATTCATTGGTTTCCTCCGCTCCGACTAGCTCACAACAACACGGAATCTACACGCTTCCCAACGTTCACAACTTAGACCTCCCATACGCTCGGCATTGCTCACACCATGCCCAACGCCGCGAAGGATTCGAATGTGAGCAAATGAATTTACGATGAGATATTGCTCGGTTGCCAAATCTAGTGTCGGTCGGGCTCGACATCAGGTAATTTATACCTCTTTCGTAATTTTTTTTTTTTTTTTTTTGGCCTACGTTCAATACAATTGCAAGCGGAAACTATGCGAGAAGGCAGTGCGACAAGTGTCAATTTTCATTCAAAGGTCAACATTTGAATACAGTGGGGCCATCCAGGCCAATAAACAAGATCTAGGATACGTGTAGATAAGATGAGGAGGATACAGGATTGTGATGAGGTGAGCAGAAAAGCTATGGATACATGTAAAAATGTAGGCTAATAGATACGCTATAACAAGAACAGCAGGTAAAACAAGAAGGAAAAAGTCATTGTGAGATTAATTGGAAAATTCACTGAAATCAGGTACAGCACCCATCGACATATCCTCTGCGCTGAACAAGACGTCGCTCAACGAAAATCTACCGCTAGAGAGCGTCAACCTCGACCACTCATCACTGATCTCCTCCCAAGGTCGACCGAAATGCGATGAAATGGAGAGGCGCGTATCTTGGGGCACCATGGTCACGTCATGTATGTTTGCAAGAGACATCCTCTGCTCCTTGGGCATCCAATCGAATGCAGGCATTTGAGGCTGGGGGGCGAAGACCGGCAACTCCTCAGGACCTGGAGAAGAAGCCTGAGACGAGCCGCCCTGGGATGAGCCTTGCGAGGAGGAATAAACCGAAGAGGAAGCTAGCGAAGGAGGACAGTCGAAAGGACTAATATACTCTACTTGCTCGAACGGAGAGACTGACATGTTCTGGAGGGGTGCAGGTGGCGGACAAGTAGCGGCAAAGGGATTAAGGTGGGCGAAGAGAGACGTGTTGACTTCGGGTAGGCAAGGCGCTGGGTAGCTCGGCTCGAATACTGGAGGCGGATAGGGAAGATAAACGAACGGCTGAGTTGAGGAAGGACGACGAGGAAGACTATCTGAAGACAAAAGCAACGGGAGTTGGATCGGACCGCCCGCAAAGTCTACTTCGGGCGGGACGCTCGAACTCCTACGGCCAACAAGGCCAAGGGTGATTCGAGTCTGATCCAGTTGACGGACAGCCTCTGCAAGTTCGTCACCCTTCTTCCCACCGAGCAGCAGTGAGGCCACGTCCTCACAACGCTTCTCGTCGACCTCAGTCGGGCGACTCTTAGGCGCCGACTTCTTCTTGCTCTTGGTAGACTTGGGCTTGCCCTTTACCTTGTTCTTGTTGTGTACGGGGCGGAATTGGTAATCGGGATATTGTTTTTTGTGGCGAGCTTTTTCCTGCCTGGCGCGAGTATCCCATTTCTTTTTCTCGTGAAGAGGCAAGCCGTGCCAGATGCTGCCTAGGAGAACATAAGATAAAGCCACGACAACAGAAAGACGACACATACCAATGATTTTAGACAAGCTCCCATGATTAGTTTCGATGCTGCCGGGGACATGCTTCTGGCGCACAAAGTCAGCACGGAAGAGCATAAATGCATTGGCGGGACGCGGGATATGGTTCGGATCCTTCGACTTTGTTTTTCGCTTCGGCTCTGTGCGCGGCTCTGTGCTCGCAGGGAACAAGATAGAGCCTTCCTCGTCAGCCATCACGATATCATCATCGTCAGGTTGATCGTACGAGACCGGGGTAACGTTGGGTGCAAACGATATCTGCTGAGTGGGCTGGCCTTGTGAACGAGTGCCGTAGGAGCTGTGCGATGCTGCTGAGCGTCTGCGAGAGGACTGGACACCGAGGGATATGCTCAGGCGATGGCGAGACATGCTGTCAAGGGAAGGTAACAGAAAGAAGGTAAAAAGATGGGCGTAAATGGGTGAGGGCTCACACGAATTGGGGGATCAACGAATCCAATTGTTCTCAGCCCTTTATACCTTCTCTTGCCTGACATCAGACCCCCGGATACTTACTTGATCTACTTCGGCATCATTCGGCATCTCCTTCCTCGATCTCCCCGATCAACACTCGATCTAAACGAAAACATTTCCAAGGAAATTTACACATATTCGCTAAGGGTTCTCCTGCCAATAGCATCCTAATTCTCTGCTGGTCTTGGTCTTTGCAGCCTCTAGTCACACAGTTCCAAGATCTAACAGATATCAGGGTCCTTCCAAATCTAGCCACTGCCTTGTGCGTCCAAAACAGGCCAATCCCTTATTCCCTCACGCCGGCTTCCATTCGTATCAGAAAACAGTCACCCATTCAAATTCCTCGACGTGTCTCTGGACTTCTTGACTGAGGAAGAAGGATATCGTTGCGAGCCAAGACCTTCCTCCTCAATAGCATCTTTTATACAAGAAAACTGCCTTTACAATGACTCCCAGAATGCAGCGAGCGCCCAGTACAATGTTATCCTTTCCTGACATTACACACATCTCCACGTGCTATCTCGAACTGCTTCTAAATCCATGCAACTCCGGACCACCACCGGCACTTAGCATTTGATCTTTCTTCAATGCCTTGTATTTTCTTCTTTACTTTGCATTTGAATTTCTCAGCGGTGGTATCGAGGGGTCCTTTCTTTCCCTTGTTTTTCAGACGCACAGCTCAGCATGTTGCAAAAGCTCGCTGCTCCCGCACACATCCTCGGTGATTCCTGCGACTGATTTGCAAAAGCGGGGTCGCATCCCTGCAGCCCCATTATCCCTAGCCATTGTTGACTATCTTGGGATAGGGATCAGGCATATGCGAAGCCCCTAAATTCTCTTGCACGAAGGAGTTTGAAGCAAGGACCTGCAGGTACCAGTTGTTGGCTCCATCCGGAGCGCAAATTTTGACTGGGTTGTTATTGGCTACGGCAGTTACACGTCATTCTTATTTTCAGGCTCACGTACGATACCTTACAGGGCACTTTTCATGGAGCGAGTGATATTCATTTCTGCAATAACGGTCACATGCACACGCTATATGGCTCCATAACCTCAATATTTCCGGTATCTACCACCACATTTACCATCCCAATTTGAATCTCCTGGGTCTTGCTTCACGGAATAAGTTGAATTGTAACCTAGCTTGAGACATGTGTTAAATATCTAGATGACATTCTGTTCTCGTCAAAATGCTGTTGGTTCTCTTCGCAGCAGGGGGGTAGAGATCTGCTCTTCCGAAACACGAAGGTCATCCTCCCATATCCTTGTTGTCCCTTAAGAAATGCGTATGTCCCTCGTTATCTGTTCAAGTTGCTCAACTACATGCTGAGTATCCGAGGTGACCAAGACGGCACACTTGAACACTAGATACAACACTGCCATTTGACGATGATAGTCAATATCTGTTGTCTTTATTATTCTGACGAGGTTTGAAACACGCAGATGAATGTTCAGACTAGGGTGGAAGACTTTTCAACCACAAGGGATGCTGAGCTAGGGCTATTCACATCGTCAAACAGCTCAACTCGAAGTTGTTCTAGAGAACATGTTGATTATGATATTGGCAGTGGACCAGGGCTTAAGAAGGGACATGGTGGGGATCAAGCTGTAGGGAGAATGTATCTACTGCAAATCAGTAAAGTAAAGGTGAAGAATAATGTATAGTACTCACATCTTAGCAGGCAGTAGGTCACTAAGATGTGTGGCCGTGAAGACGGCGAAAATTTACTGTACCGGTAACTAGTTCTAAGTTTAGAGTCCTGATGGCTATACCTACAGTCGTGGCTCGTTACTCTCAACATATGATTGCTGTGCATGAGCCTGCATTAGAGAAAAAGTCGTGGCAAGACATTTACCGATGGATTCCAAAATAAATACTATGTAGGTCTATGTCTCCACCGACGCTATAACGATGGATTGCAGAAGTGTCCTACCCTTACAGGGCATGCGTAGCGTATCTTGCCACCCAATCACGGTTTGCGGTTGGTTAAAGGAATGACCGAATCACCTTGTCCTCGAACCTCTGCCTTCTTCTGGTTGTTCTTCGCCACCGCATAAAGGACACCAGCAAAAAATCCTACACCAATGGCCGATGTAGATCCTAACGTCACAGGGTCTCCGAAGAATAACATCCCAGAAGCTGCAACAGGGAGTTTGTTCAGAGCTCCCACCATACTGTTGACATGTTATATGAGCATAAAGCATCACGCTCAAAGGAAGAGATCTTCACCTGTAGGTCGTACTACTGGTCGTTCTGATACACCAGGCAGTAGTAAACGAGATGCCAACGGCAGCCGCGCCCGAAAATGCAATGGCCAGTAACAGGATGTGCCGTGTATCTGCTGGACTATCAAAAACTGGATGTCAGTCATACATACGTGGTGTTAGTGGGCTCACAAGTTACGAGCGAGACTTTCGGAGCCCCAATCCTCCACGATCATAGAGAAAACTAAGAGGACTGGTATTGACAAAAGATTGGAATAGAACATAGAATCCCAGTCGGAGAAGCCCGTTACTTTAATTTTTTTGCGCATCGTGAGGACCTGGATAGACACTGATAACTCGTGATATGTGGTTTGGGAATAATGTGCTTACATAGGCCGCGCTCGTTAAACAGTTTACCAGCATCCAAAAGTAACCAATGTTCAGATGCTGTACGGCGCCGGTCATCGACCTTAAGTTCTCCAAGGTAACGTCATTGAACCCCATAGATGTAGCATCTTCCATGGCCATAGAGATGTCAGACCAAGCAGCTATTATGGAGGATATGACCTTTATAAACAGGCGTTGGATAGATTCAAAACGTGGGGGGGGGGGACAGGACTTACCATGAATATAAACGAGACAAAAGTCAACCCAGATACCCGTCCCCCAAACCAGAGAACTTCGCCATACGCCTAGCGAGAATGTCAGACAGATAATAACAAACCCTTGTGGTCCTTACGATGAGTATGATCGTCAAATTCTTGAAGATAGTATACACTGGGATCGAGAGGTATTGCTTGAACGCCCAAGTTAGGAAAAGATTTCAGTGTCTCTTGTTCTACCTCACCAAGCTCTTTGAACCCGTGTATATGACAAAGACAAGCATGAAGCTGATAGGAAACCACGCCTTCACATCTTGCATATCAAATGCCCGAAAGGAAATAATTCCGAGTTTTTTTACAACAGTGACGCATGCGACACACACAGTCGATTGAATACAGAGGAGCAAGAAGTTCATCGAAAAGTTTGCGCCTGACACGACAAACTATCATTTCCCTCAGAGTCAGTTATTCAAGAAAACTTGGCCAACGGACCTTGTTCACGAGGGTCATAACAATGGAGGCGCAACAATAGCAAACTATAGGCGGAACTACAAAACACAGATGAGCCAGACGGGTTGAAAGAAAGAAAATAACACACTTGAAGATGCGTGTCTTCCTTCACTGGCACCGCCATTGGCAATGGATTTTCTCATCTCAACCACGTCTCGCTCCAACCTGTCCTCGGATTTTCCGGACATGAACGCTGCTGCAGCCTGGAAGTCGAAGCTTCAACAACAGAAACGCGTATCGGTCGTGAATTAAGAAGGAAATCAAAAAGAAAGTTGGTCTATGTCCCCCGGAGGGTCGAATTAATGATAGAGAAAAGAATCAACAATGGACAACGTGGAGCGCGCTACATCCATTTCAGATAAACAGCAACATACATCCGATGACGTCATCGTCTTTGAGTCGAACTCGAATTTCCTCCAAGTAAAGCTGTTTATTCAAGTTTCGAATATTGCTACTCCAATTTTGCTTTTGACAACATCTGCGTATGTTCTCCTGCATTCATTTTCTTGTACACTGACTCCTCGAGTCCAGTCGTGGAATTTTGAGGAAAGAGAACGGTAAGTTGTAGCAATGACTGACACTACAAAAATAGTTAGATATGGCTATCGTTATAATAGACATATATACGGGATACCGTGCAAGGAGTGCATGTCACTCTTAATGTTATATGACGATAATTTGCTGGTGATTGCGAGCGCTGCGAGTAGAATTGACTGCGGTGCGCCAAAGACCTGCAAAGCGTGCGTTCCCCGATAACATTTCTTCGCGTTGAGGCTCTGTCGTGTTGTATCTCTTTCATTTCTTCCTGTATCGCTCTGGAACTTTAAAATATTGTTTTAATACGTATAAAGAATGATTGTCTCGCTTTTCGGTTTCCTTGCTTGCGCTCAGTAAGTATTACCTCTGCTGTTCGGGTTTTACCGATGCACAAGGGTCATCTCTCCGCATCGATATCTAAGTCTTGTTGTCTTCTGACCATCATGCTTTCCATCCTCTCATGTATCCAAAAGAGCGTAGTCTCTCAGGCTATTTGAATAGTTTACTGTTCTGCTGCGTTCGTAAGGAACTCGGATGATTCAGATCCGAGATCGGCCCGTCCCAAGGTTGGGGTTGGCCGGGGGTAGCACGTCCTTCGTCGAATAATCGTTAACTTTTGACTCGTACTCCATACCACGGGTCGGCCGATATAACTAATAGAAATGTGTGTTCTTGCTCCCCCTACGCTCGTCATCGAACTAGAGTTCCTCTGCATGTAAGGTTTCTTTGTCAAGTGCGTAAGAGACTTATCTACATTTTTAGCTCTCCATACCGTATTGCATTATTCTTTGTTGCGAAGATGACGACTCTACCTGCAGGATCGTTCGGTATGATGGGTATATATATATATATATATTTAAGCTTCCCCGCACATTGACATGTCTATGCCTATTTTCATCAACAGGCTATCTGGTGCACAACGCTCTCAGTGGCGAGTCCCTTTATTTCACAGAAATCAACATTATCAGAAGTGCATACACGTCAGCCTGTCTCTCTTGTTTCGTCGCCATACTACGCCTCCATTGACGATGCTTATCGGGACAAAGTTCGTATACCTAGATGCAAATGTGGGATTATGGGAACCAAGTCATCTACGGAGGCCTCTGGAGTTCCTTTGACGTCCTTTCACAATGGGATAACCGAACTGCTGTTTGGTTTTGCGTAATCGGATGAATCACCGTAGACGCTTGTCCATCTTTCTCTTGCGAGCCAATGCCGACGCCACTCGCACCAGGGGCTGGATCAAACATCACGCAATCGCTGTCAGCGCCGCTAATTATCTCACATCGTTGTTTCCAAAATACATCAATTGCGGGCAACTCGTAACGGCACCCATCGGAGGATGGGCAATAGGTCCCTGGGAGGTTCTCGCTACCGGGGAAACGTTCTTGACATTCACAGTGAGCACAATGTTCGTGGCGGAAGCATTCATCGAAGCACATCAGTCTCCATGCTCTGTCATCATGAGTCCCATTTCTCGCTCATTTCCGCATGTCTACGACAGATTATTGGGTTTGTGCGTCACATAATTTTCGTTAAACTGGGAGCATACAATAATGTCAAAGTATTGTCCGACACAACTGGAGAACCTTGTTGACAGTGTTGACAATAACGCCGAACCTTGTATGACTCCGGGCCCGAAATAGTCTTCGCTATCTTATGTTGCCTCCAGCCTAGCCTGACTAAAGCTGTCAACCTACACTGGTAACATATTGTGGTATTAAACTCCAAAGTTCATTACAGGGTGTCAGCTCGAGTTCTTTCTTCTTGTCTAATGTATAGTCTTCTGATGCCTTTGACTTGTGACTGGCAGACCCGACGCTGGTCAATACGCTGTTTCTACATTGGTTCCGAAAGCTATCACCGCCGAGGACTTATGAGCAGATGCATTTTGAAATCCACGGAAAAAGAGAAGCATTGATTCAAATATCGTTGTTTTCGTGTCCTAATAGCTTCTCTTTCACTATAGACTATTTTTATAGCCTCCTGAGCTGGTCCATGGTTTAAATCTACCGCAGGGGACAAATAGCAACGCCTGGAAACGAGGCAACCTCTTTTGCAATGAGATAGGCAAGTTATCGGAATTGACGTTTTCCCATATGCGACTCATTATGAGCGGTGTCAATATATACTATGTCACGGAAGAAAGAATCGTTTTATTCTATGCAATGCGGGACGTCTACTGTACATGTACTCATCAAATCGTACCAGGGTTCTTTGCTTCCTACCCCGATTATGTGCGAAAATTAGAAAGCCTCCCTGAGTGAAAAGCATTATCACCGTGAATTCTTCTCAAAGCGGAGCCTCACCGAAAAGATGCCATGTCACAGGTTAGGGCACCATCTCGCCGAGATGAAATCACAAGCGATAGAAGTTTCGTTATAGTGCCTGGGATGCTCAATGTTGTCCGCCACAGAATATAAAACTTACCGAATACGCGTGAGAACTAGGAGAAAGGCCCAACAGCAGAGCTAACCATTTCCGAATGGCGCTGGGCTTCACAGAATGTGAGTAGAATCAATCAAGATAAGAAAAGGGAGAAAAATATTAAGGCAGATTCTATTTTCATCTGCTTTTTCATGTCTACGAGTCGTTATTTCCCCAAAACTACAACCGACGTGGCAAGAATGAAGCAACCACCAGTGACGCACATACCGTCGCAAGCAGGACGTAATAAACCATATAACCTCCTAAAAAGCTCTGCTTCAAAGAAAGGGAAAAGAGTGAATTGGCAGCAGCGGGCCCGATGGCCCTGCAAATGCTGACTGCCATTTGACAAAGCCCATTTGTTGCACCCAATGACGCTCGATTCGGCGAGGCGGCAGCAATATAAATGAAGATAGCACCTGAGTAAGACGGTAATTACGGAATTGTGACACGGAAAAGAGATACTGAACGCACCATACGATAAGCTAATGACGATTGATGATACTATTTGGACGGCAAGAACAACCCATACCAGCGTACATAACCCATCTGCCTTCACCAAGGTGCTAATAACGGGGAATGACACAAACACTGGAATCGATGACGCAATCCCGATAAGGAAAGTAGTCTTGGAGCCCAGGGAGTCATTGATTCGGGCAAAAAAGAAGATCTGGAACAGACCGTTGAAGATGCCGAACGCGGAGAGGATGTTCCCAATGAATGCAGGAGATAGCCCGAGTCCTCCAAGTTCCACTGGCATCGACATGAAGACAGGTTGAATAGCTTTGAAGGCGATCTCAACCAAAGACAGACATGCATAATTGGCACCAGCGATGAGAACTCGTGGAATGAGGAGGGATCGCATGGGGACAGGTTTCTCATCGTCACTTAAGTCAGGTGTCGTCTTATTGGTATCCTGATTGTCCAACGACTTGAAGAAAAGACTGGAGACGGGTTGCGGGTGTTTGACAGTTTCATTGAGATAGGTGTATGTGATGAGCCATGCGACTGCAGAGAAGCATGCTGGGACGGCACAGGGAAGGAAATAGGGATACGCCTTCAAAAAGTCAGAGTGGCCGAAGAGGCTGGGGAATTGCTCTGCCGGGCGAGAGAGAGCTCCTCCGATGATGGGTCCCAATGTAGCACCCGTGCACCAGGACTAATGGGAGATCAGTTTCTGGGTATTTGTTCTAATCAACACTCTTCTAACACTTACAATCGGAAGGTAAGCGTATGCCTTGACGAGAAATAAGTCAGAGATGGAGGAGATGGGTTGAGAAAGAGACGCACTTGGGATATGTTTGTCGCATCAGTCATTTCCGCCATCATACTGTGACATGTCAGAGGTAACGACACTCGGAGTTGGATACGGAAAGGACCTTTTTATAACGCCAATGTTGCCGTCTACAACGTAACGGCGAGGTCAGAAGAAGAAGAGGCCCTCACGTGGGAAGGACATACTCAAAGCACCGTTGAGAGAGCGGCTCAAAACAAGACCCCAGAAGGTCTTAGAGAGACCGAAGCAGGACATCGAAATGCAGAGACCAAAAAGCCCAGTCAGGATGACGGGCTTGCGTCCAACACGGTCGGAGATACGACTCCAATGGAGTACGGTCATCGATTGGGTCAAAAAGAAAAGAGATTGCTGGTAAATTGTGAGTCGCAGGAATGTTAGAAGACGAGAAGCGTTCCACTTGCCATGACCCCCACATAATATCCGACTTTCGTTTCGTCGCCATGGGTAATCCCAATGTCTCGAATGAGCTGAAGAAGAGGTTAAGGAAAATTGAAGATGAGAGATAAGGATCCTTACTTGGGGGGCAAAGGGAAAGATAACTTGGGATGTGAGAGGCTCTGCAAGCTGGAGGACCAAGACAATGCAGAATTGGAACCAGGGAAGAGGAGTGCGTTTTGGCTTGTGCTGGGGATGGAGCAATGGAGACTCCTCGTCGACATTCGTAGCAATCATGATGATAAGAGGGAAAGAAAGAATGGAGAAGCGGCACTTGCGGACCCCAGTATTTCAGGCAAATTTGAAGGCAATAATGAACCGGAAGTTCCGTCTGATGACTCGGGTGGTCGCCGACAAGTGTGCGAAGAGGGGTCATTTGAAACTCATGATAGGCAAACTTGGATGTCAAACCTGCGCGATACTATCGGGTTGGAAGACGTCGTTGGCAAACACCACCATACACCCACCCACCACCCACTCCCAACCAGTGACCGCAATGTCTCCCTCATGGCTCTCTACCGCCGCTTCCATTGGCATGGCTGTCGGTCCTCCTTTGGTATCTTGCTGCTCATTTTCACCACTATGAATCTTTGCTGATTGACACTTGACGTTAGGTCTACGCAGACCAGGCAGTTTCAATCGTCCGTAGACAGTCAGTGTGTCCTTGCACACATACATCCATCGTCTCATCAATTCCAACTCGTTTCTAGGGACGCAACCGGATTTTCTCGTGACGTTTGCGCGATTCTGTCTGTTACCAGCCTCTTCTCGATACCGTCTAGTCCCTGACCGTCTTCTCGATACCCAGGTTGTTGGCCAACATCACACGATGCTTCTTCTGGCTGGGGTATGCTTCTTCTGCTTCCCTCTTTGCGGCTGTATCCTTACACCCATACAGAAATCATTTCGAGCTCGCCCTTCTTTTACAATCCGTCCTCATGATATTGGCCCAGGTCCGTCCTTCGCATCCTAATCTCCTACATTCTGTATTCAACCCGACATAGCTCGCCCTGCTTTACATATGCATCCGCTATCGTCCTACAATCAGCCCAGAGAATTTGGGCACGTCCATCAGGCCATTCTCATTCTGGCAATGGTCAACGTATACTCAATACATCGAGTTCCTCGCTGGTTTCATGTACGCTTCCCTGTATCGTCTAAACGAATGATATCTCATGTTGAATCACAGTTTACTAGAGGCCATTTTATTTTTGATCTTGGGGCGCTCTGATGTCTTCGTTTCACTATTAGGTTTCGTTGCATTGGGACTTGAGAGTACTCTACCTATACCTCAACTGATCAGGTGCGCTCGCTGTAATCATTTAGTTTCACCGATTGATCCCCTTCTTCAATAAGTAATTTCAAACAACGATCGTTGTATGGCTTCCGTATGTCAACCTTAATTGGGTGGGCAGGGGGAGACACGTTCAAGTGCGTAATATCACCTTCATCATAGTCCGTCCCTTACACTATCACCAGAACAGTCTACTTCTTCCTTCAAGAGTCGCCCCTTCAGTTCAAAGTCTGTGCTATTTTCCAACTATCTATCGATTTCGGTAGGTCCTCAATGGACTGATAGTGTGTCACGTATTTCATGTGGTTTTGATAGCTATCGTCGTACAACGGCTCTACTTCGGAAACGCCCCGCCTCCGACCGTATTAGTTGATGACGATGATCTCGAGCAGGCTCTCACATTAGCGGAGGAATGATATCGCACTGTGTGTATGGGAATCTTTATTGGACGCCATACTGTCGTTCGAGGACTCGCTTAGAGGGGTTATGTTTCTAGTGACGGCCTCCGGATACGTATCAGGAACCGGTCCCCTCTTTTACTGCCGGGTATCTATATTTACATAACACGGTTAGTAAACGTTCCTGTATCAAGCGGAGGGAGGTTAATCACAACTGTTACCTTCATACCCCTGCTTTTTAGCCCTGGACTGGGGCAGCAGCCGGAAGTGAAGCGTTCGCCTATGACAAGAAAACTGGCCCACGCTAACATAGACAGCTTCACGACCTTCTGATGGAGCAGTCAGTCAATGTTAAATCACTCATCGTTGTAAAGCTCTTGGCATCTATCCCTTAGACGGTTCCGTGTGCCTTCACGACATGCCTCGATTCAGTTGTGATCGGATCGCCTGGCCTCCTAGATCAAAAGGAAAAACCTGGTCGCGCTCTCCTGACACTGTTGGTGTGATTTAGAATCTATTTAAGTTGAACTGTCCCAAATCGATACACACACCTTCCTTCTCTTATCTCACCATGTCCGAAACAGCTGTAGAGTCCTTGTCGATGGAGACGGTTCTCCGTCTTGGGACCATTGCCATCTGCACTTACGAGTAGGCAATCATGTTTCGTATCAACGCATCTCATCGTTTATCCATCCATTAGCTATGTCAGAACTCTTCCAGGGGAGTACAAATTCTGGCGTGATAAAGGGCCGCAGATCCGTCCCAAGTCGTTCATCTTCGTGTTCCAAGTCAAATCGGGCATTGACCCACAGCTTTATAGCCTCGTCCTCTTCGTCCTTATTCGCTACATCAGTGCCGCGGTCCTGATTGTTAGCAACGTCGGATATTTTTCACATTCCTTCGGTGAAAAGTCATGCCAGAGATATTACATGGTCCCTGTGGTCCTGAAAGGTATGGATAACTTTATCCTAGCCTTAATGATTAATTGATTGGGTTCTAGCCCTTCAGATGACTGTATGCCAGTTAATTCTTGGACTACGGTATGCTATAATATCATAGGTACTTCGGCTTTTTGTTAACATGTCGGACAGAACATACAGCATCTCTCGACGCTCACAACGAATCAAAAGTTTTCTTGTCGTCGTGACAGTGATAGTCACTTTACTCGAGTGGTTCACAAATTTATATGGCCGGGTCATGATTCAAACGGACGGAAAGTGCGTACTTAAATGTATGACATTGATCCATTTTGATATGGGATTTTTCTCCAGTTGCACGTCAGGCAACGACCCTTCAAAATTGGTGAACTGGATGTTCTACATCTGGGCCATGCTGTCAGTCCCATATCCCATAGTACAGATAACCGCAACTAATTGACGAGCTTCCTTTGCAGTTATGATATGACTACTTTAGGATTGTCCACCTACTTCTTGGTCAAAGCTGGCGGCTCAGGATTGTCTTCGTAAGTATTCGGCCCTCCCCTCTGGTGACTCGAAAGGTTGAATATCCGCTTTTAGTATGACTGGCTTAGTGAGAGCCATGGTTGTTGATGGCCTTGGATATATCGTACTCCTTACTAGTACGTGGTCGTTGAGTGCTTCACATAGACCCGAATGTAATGCTGCGTTATAGTAACGAATACCCTAAACCTTATCCTATACCGGGCCTCTAGTCTCAGCGCCCAAGCTGCTGCGTAAGCTCCATGTTACGAATCCATGTGGATTGCGCTTTTAACAAATCGTTTTCAGCGCGACTCTTGGCATCGCTTTTACATGGATTATGTCACAAAACATTCTGATAAAGACCAGAGGTTGGTGCAACCATACACGTCCTGTAAAATGATCTCACGAAATCAGACGCAGGTATGCGGTCGTACAAGAACCATCAGCCATCGAGTGGACGCACACCTTACAGCAGGTCCGATGACCAGAGTCCAGCAGCCGTTGCTGTCACAACTAAGGGTATTGAGCTTGAAGTGCAGGTTACGATCAATCGCGAACAGGATGTCGACGAGCCTGGGGTCAAGTGGGACGACTCGAGATCAGATGTAGAGAGTCAGAAGATGAGCAGGCTTACGAGGTGATGAAGTCGTTATGCCTCTTTACCTAACATTATTTTTTTTGGGTTTCATTGAGCGGTCGTAGATACCACTGGTTGAATACATAGTTCGATATAGACAGATTGCATTTTGAAAGTAGTGCACTAATGTAATAGCTTTGATGTAAGCGAATGGATAGGATATTGCATTGCAAGTGACTTGCGTGAAGTTCCGGAGCATTGAGATACCCTGACCAGGAAGGCCGCTGCCTGTCCAGCTGGATCGGAAAGAAATTCAAATACCAGCTAGACATTGGGCCCACGACGATCCGAGAAATAATTAGGGTTCTGCTAAGCTCTCATCAACGACGTCAAAGTCAAAAGCTCTTGAGGCCCAAATACTATCAGTAGATATTCTCAAGCACTCGGCAATATATATATATAATTACTAATGATAGATCCTGATCTGAAAACTACTTTTTAACACTGGCGGTGGTCGCAGCCGGGCCTTAAAGATAATATCCAACACTGGCAAGTCATCTGGTCGTACTCGTGATCGCGGCCACCTTGCACAGCACCGTATACGAGTACGAGTTCCGCGAATATTTATTTGTAAGGCAGCTTGCCAAAGCTACGGGCACTTCGAGCTCCTGTGTATATCACCAAATTTTGGAGGTTTCTCGAAATACATATGAAGATCAAAGTCAACATGGTGGCAACGAACTAAAGTTTCTAAGCTCAAACACAACGAGTAGTAAAATATAAAAATAACGAAATTTGTTCAATAGAATCCATTCACTCCGTTGGTACGTCCATTCTTCTGTTTAGCCTTCAAGGCTTCAAGGTAAGAATACGCCTTTCCTAACATCCAGATGGGGAAAGAGAACTTAAAGTTCGGGTATGCGATTGCACAAGTTTTATTGAAGACGCCTTCAATTGCTTCTTGTGCCCATGAGCCATCCTGAAGGAAACACATAAGTCTCAAATAACCGCAGATAGAAGATTATACGGAGCGTACAGGTAGCTGTCTTGACATTACCAGTTCAATGGCCTTCTCAATAGGTTCAGGATAAGGATATTCCGCATACATCAGAGCCATGGTAGCCCAGCAAGTCTGCACGACTTGCGTTTCAGCATGTTCGATCCAACTTTTCTGCTCGCACGTCTGGCAAAAGTGTCAACGATCGTTCTGCGATAGCTAGGATGAAATAATACCTTATAACTCTCTCCCCAGCCGCCGTCAGCTCTTTGTTTGTTAATCAAGAACTCACAAGCACGTCTCGAGGAGGTACTGGTTTCGTATGTTTCGCCCACCAATGACAGACTCTCCAGCGCAAACTGGGTAGCATAGGTAAAGCAAATACCCCAGGATCCCAGCCAGGGGCCTTCGGGTTTTTGTATGTTGTGAAGGAAAACAATTGCCTTCCGGATGGTTTGGCTGTCGAGAATTGTCAGAACAGCGCGGAAAGACACAGAAGGACCCTTACTCAATATCTTTCTTGCGGTAGACGGGATAACGTTTTCGGAAGATGGCCAGTGCTGTGATGACGGAGGTCGTACATTCGGGGTATGTGTAATCTATCATAATGTCACCTGTAAAACGGTTCAGATTCGATAGTAGCATCTGCGGAAGGAGAGTTCTTACCGAAAACCTCAGCGGGATTGAGCAACTCCAGCCATCTTGGTCCTCGAACACGTTCATAGCTCGCATATCCTCCGTCGGCATTTTGCATTGAAAGGAGTACATCTACGGCATCGCACAGGCGTCGCTCGGACACCAACTTGGGTGTAAAGCTATAAAAGTAGTAAGCGGAGATTCATCAGCGAAAGAGTGAATTTGCCTACTCAAGGTCTTGGCAATATAATACTGCTTTGAGGCCTTCGCCAGTACAGTCTGAAACGGTATAACCTTGCTCTTTGGTGCTAGATTATGCCCGTCTATCAGTCTTGCGAGAAGGGATGGGGAAACAGTCTTACCTGAACCCCCATGCTCCTTTGGTCATGTGCCGATAGGAAGTCTCGAAATGCACAGGATTCGTAGTCATCTGAGCCTGCTCTAACCAGCCAAGAGCTCTGATGAGACTCTCTTTATTTTCCTGTCGGTTCGCCAAACCGGACTCTACCACAGCCTGAGTGATAAAGCCAATATCCCACAACTGGCTCCCATTGGTCCCTGTCATCATCATTCCATCCTTTCCAATCCACATGAAATCTTCTCGCTTTTCTTTGTGAAGTTTGAACGCATAGCTCTGGTTGCCCTCACGGTGAACACGCGCAACGAGATTCATCATTTTGGAAACGGGTCCCAGCGTTTGATACCCAGTGTTTTCGTCCTCTAGGACGATAAGCTGGTACGCGCGGTCTACGGCTTTACGCCTGAGAGGTGGTAGTGTGCAGAGCTCATAGGCACCCAAAACAACGTTGATCATATCAAACACAGCGGCATGCGGCGAATACAAGTCGACTTTACAGACGTTGTTCCGTTGTGCTGGCCAGTCTATAGAGTAATAGTTTTGCATGTAGAGCTCCTGAGTAAAGATAAGGTATGGTTGAGGTGGAAGGGAACATGACACAAACTTCGCGAAGGGACAAGATGAGCTTGTCTTCTGGCGCTTTGAACCTGACACCGTAAAGGTAACTCATAGGAACATAAACCGTTCGTGTGTGTATCCACCATCGATGTGGGTGAAAGGGGAGTGCTTCTGGAAGTAACCTGAGGGTATGTTATTGCGTGCAGTTGGTCAAAATGAGCAATACGACGAACCATAGTTCCGGAGGAATGGGATTGTTGCCTTCCCATTCGTAAACGTTCAATACGGAAAGCCAGAATTTGCCCCAGGAAGGTGCAGCTAATGCAGAACCTGAGAGAATATAAGATGAGGGCCAATGTCGAAAATAGCAATAATATCCTTACCCATAGCATGCATGGTTGCTCTGCCCTTCCGGCAAACGGGATGGTCTGCATCAACGCCAAGGATACGCAATGCGACATAATTCAACGCGGTGCCGAACATTGTCGACTCGCCTTCTACATGTCTAAGGCTGAATTGAGGAGAGATGCGGCCAGCGTATGTATTGACCTCACATTCCCCATCCGCCATCTACAGGATTGGCGCGGTTCATTAAGTACCGAATCATTTCCAACCTTTCTTCTGTCCTGAAGCCCATACCAGAGACATAAGAGCCAATTACTAGCCCAGGTAGGAGGAACATAGGACCGCCATATTCACCTGGCCAGTGTCCATCGTGACACTGGAGGTTTTTATAGAACTTGTAGCCATTTTGCGCGGCCTCTAAAGGATCCTTGGCTCGGGGTAGTACGGGAAGATCCTGTGCTTATGAGCACGAAAATAAAGAAAGACAAAGAGATGTCGTACCGTCGGTAGACCCAGCCAATGCTTCTCCAGAGCAGTCTGAGGCCAGCTCTTGCATTCTTCATTGGTCTCGAGATAACGCCAGGTATGGCGACCGCCTTCACCAGATATAAAGCGCCATTGAGAATAGTCGGTAAAGGGAATAGAAGACGAATCTGGCACAACGAGCGGTGAGTAGGACATCAGAGTAAAGGCAAAGAAATCGTACCACTGGTAAAATGGCATTACATAGGCACCGGAGCGATCAGCCATGATACAACCCCGGACCACATCACAGACAAATAGTCGCGTACAATGTCCTTTCGCGATTCCACCGTCGTCATCATTGAGACGAGCAGGTCCGTCATTCGTGCTGGCCTGGGTCTTCACGAACTCTTGAAGATACCCACAGTTGTGAGTTTTCCACTTTCTGCTTCAAAGCCCAAGTTCATCATATAATAGGAAATACAAGCGCGCGTCGGTTTGCGGCCAAACGTATCGAACGGGGATGAAGGTGCTATCGCAGTCGATGGAGGGGGTGCAGAGGCATCCACCAGTCGAGCACCTTCGCAACCTCCCGTGAATGCGTCCGTGAACGACTACCTTGTTGGAGCGCAACTCGATGAAGCGCTGGCTAGTGGTCAAAATATCCATGTCTTCTGGCCTTTTGAAGGCGAAAATATAAAAGAATGGGTACAGGCTGAAGCTATATGGTATGCCCCCAGGATTTTCACGTTAGCGGCCGTTCATTGTGCAATCTAGGAAACATGTTCTCTTCAACCAACTGCAACGTCGTCGTGCTCAAAATGAGTCCCCTGTTATTCTAGCCATCCAGCCTGGAATGCCACGTAGTACCTACGAAAAAATATGCCAGATCTTCTTCGAGCGTTTCAATGTCGCAGGATTCGCCATCGTCGAACGTCCTGTGGCCCAGATATACGCCGGCAACAGTCTCAGCGGTGTCGTTGTCGACATCGGATACAACACAACTGACATCACCCCAATCTATGAGGGTTTCATTATTCATTCTGCTCGGTCACACACTGACGTGGGCATTCGCCATTGCGAAACTTACCTTGCAAACCTCCTTCGCTCCAACACTTCTGTGATGTCGACTCTATCCCCTCCCGAAGCAATTCTTTCTCCCGAGGACCTACAACAGACTCTTTTAGACTTTGCAAAATATATCTGGAATGCAGGCTATGTCAAAGTCCCATCTTCCGGCGAAACGGCCATTGCGGAGGACGAGGGCGTCACGGATATCGCAGCCGTTCTGGTCGCAGGCAAGGAGAAGGCAGTCATTGAGAGCGGAATGAAAAAGAAAGCGAACGCCAAAGCTTCTGCCGCGGAGCAAGCTCGAGCAAGGGAGATTGAGGCCTTGGACTTGGTTACGATCCAATTCCGTGATAAAAGTATAACTCTAGGGAAAGAGCGCCATCGATTTTGTGAACCACTTTTTGACCCTATGTTGTTGGGAACGATACCACTGTCTGATGCGGACGTACCGGTCTCGTATGCTGGCACGCGTCCTATACAAGAAGCGACTGGGCATGCTGTTTCTCTGGCGGACATCGACCAGAGGCTGTACATCTGGCAGGGTCTATTTGTCACTGGCGATCTAACAAAGAACATCAGAGGTGAATACTTTCTACCGTACCTTGAACATACAGTAACCTGTCACAGGTATTGCAGTCGCACTGCAATCGCGGCTTGCTCCGTTTATCAGCAATCCTGAATTGCAGACGGAGATCCAGCCACGAAGCGTGCGAATTTTAGGCGTGCCAGAGTACTATCCTGAATATAGAGACACCGGAGAAGGGTATGCTGCTTTCCTTGGGGCAAGTATCACGGCTAAGGTGAGTAGCGCACAGCCAAAACCTTCGTCATGAACACTGAACATGGCCAGATCATCTTCAATGATAACGGGGGAAAGAACTCGGTGTTGAAATCGGACTATACAGCGAGAGGACCTCATGCAATAATTGAATTTACGCCGACACTCCTGTAACTGTAACTGCCAAGAGACTCATATTCTGAGTAAAAATTGCGTCGCGTAGTGACCCATAGTACATGACATATTGTATGTATATGTAGTATACATGATATCGATAGACATAAGCACCCGTCACTCGCCTATGCAGCATTGCCCTCAGCAAAGTTGAGGAGATCCGAATCTCCTTGGTCGGAAACGGTCATGACACTGAAGGATTATCAGTAAAGTGAATCCCCTTAGAGAACAAAAAAGACATACCCAACACGGAAAAGTTTACCAGCTGCGGTCCCCAGGGCCACATTAGTGCCAGAGAAGTGGTGCACTGTTGTCTTTGAGAGCATGGCATAGTACTCAATCTCGGACTTGCGAAGGGGTGGGCAGTTGCCAGCGATCAAGACGAGCTTGGCTACAGAACAAAGCGTCAGCTCAAGGGACCTTCTCAGCCTCACGCTCCAGTCCCCGAGAGACATTGGACAGCCAACGTACCTTTACCGCTTCGCATCTGCTTGAGGGCGGATTTGTATCCAAGAGTGTACTTGCCCGACTTGACGACGAGGGCAAGCCTGGCAGCAATGGACTCGGTGGACTTGGATGCCTTAGATTTTTTTGATGGAGCCATTGCGTCGTCGGTGATCTTGAAGTTGTCGATCAATGCGTCTAGAATAATAAAATGAGTTCGAACTGTACAGTCCGGGATTTAGAGTTCAATCCCCGACGACGGCAATCTCCGGCCCACGTGAATCGATCGCGTCGGCGCGCGCCAAGCAATCGAGATAGGAGACGGAGAGAGGGATTCCGATCCCGGGTTGCTAATTCATCAACTCGGAACGGGATGAAGTTCTCCCAGGTTCAACCCAAGTAGCCAACACACACAATGTCCGTACCATCCAAGGAAAACCCCAACTTTGTCGTACAACTTCAGCCGGGCGAGTACAAATCCTTCCTAAAGTCCCTCAAGGTGAGCTTCAGACTGTCATAAGTCGCAACCTTCTTCGAGCAGCGGATTTTAGGCATTCGAAAAAGGACAAGTCATCGCATCGTTGGAAGGTGTTACCAAGGCTCCCAAGAGTTACAGAACAGTTCAATGTGGGCCCGGACCCGAGGATCACATCGAACTGAACAGCGATTTCGTTTACGGTATGCCCAATGCCAGTTCATCGTACAATTTACTATCGGTGTTGATCAAATCCGCAATAGTGAATCACTCTTGCGAGCCAAACACGGCTTTCGACTTGTCCTCCCCCGACTCCGCAGGCTGGCATATACGCGCACTAAGGCGTATCGAAGCTGGAGATGCACGTTAGTACCATTGGCTTCCATCGCACGTTGATTGGCTCATTCGATCTTGACCTGTAGTCGGCTTTTTCTACCCCAGTACGGAGTGGGACATGGATCAGCCGTTCTCGTGCGAGTGCGGGACAAAGGTGACGCTTTCCAGTTACCTGGTTATCTTTCTAATATCCCTCCAGACTTGCCTCGGGATTATTCAAGGAGCTAAATACCTGAATAAAGAGGATTTGCTAGCTCATGGATGGATCAGCCCCTGGATCCTTGACTTGGCCTCCCAAAAGAATGGACAGAAATCGAAGACATCGGCAAAAATGCATTCGAGGCTTTAAACCTAGGTGCTCAGCGTGAACTTGAATGCCGCAACCAAACAAGAAGTACATACCCAATTGTAATAACCAATACACCAAAATTATCAGGAAAGAGGTTAGGTTTTACCAGGATCAGGAGGCAGCCGGACATTTGTCGGCTTGGGTGAAGAAAAGGCACTCCGTGCGTGGGATCATTTGAGTCTGAATCCACTAAGGCTTTAGCCCCGTTGTCGCTTTGAAATCGAGTAAGTACGTTCAAATTTGTACGGTCTTTTTGGACATGTTAGCGTAAGTAATGATGGCGTTGGTTGATGTGGCCAAGAACATGACCAAAAGGCTCACAATCTCTTTCCGAGCTTGGTCGAAGCCAGGTTAAGCGACTCGGGTCGGGAAAGTGGAAAGTGAAACAGTAATAGGAACTTTCAGTCCCGAGCGAGGGCTGATTTTTGATTGTGGTACTCACCCCAAATCCTGCCTGCAAGATGAATAGCTGCAGAATGCCAAGCGTGCAGTATTCATATCTTCAACTGTCTACTGAAAAACAGAGTTCGTGATATAGTCAGAGCAGTGGGTGAAAGGAAGTAAGATTCCCAGATAGTATTGAGCTAGATATGACTTGGCCAATGTTGGCCGCCTACGTTACATAAGTAACTCAGCTAGGTACGAGTACACTAACTCGCCTCAATGCCATCTAATGGCAGAAAGAGAGAAAATAAAGAAGGTAATACCAATAGCGTAACTCTTAACCAACACGAAGTAAGCTCTCGTCGTGAGGTACAGGAACACGCGACCTACGCGAACGTGACGCGTTACGCGTCGCGGCTAAAAGATCACGTGCTTCGAAACTCTTTGTTGAAGACCATCATGGCGAGGGGCTCGAGGGACAACGACCACTACGACGACGACCACGATACTGACGCTGAATCCGAGAAGGACCTCATTCCACCTCGAAAAAGTGGTGTTCGTAAACGGCTCAGTGAGGCTTTCATTCCGGAAAACGACAGCTTTACCTCAGACTCCGGTCGCGTCCCTCTCAAATCGGTGAACATTAACGATGATGCTGCAGAGAAAAGGAGAAGAAGGAAGAGCACCAAGATTCATGGAGTTGAAGCCCCAGTTGCTAGTCCTTCGAGCGATCCTAATGACCAGGGTGACACTTCGCGCAGCAACAGACAGAAGCAGCAGCTCAATACTATTGCCCCGCCGGTCATCAAGGTACCATTGGACGTTATGAGTTCCAACTTTGAGGAATGGATGAAGATGGCAACAGACAACGTACGTTCTGTAACTTGATACCTTCCTCTTTGCTGAACATCGATCAGAAAATTAATGCCGCCAACTCATGGAATTTTGCACTTATTGACTATTTTCACGACATGTCATTACTCAGGAATGACGACGACAATTCCATCAACTTTCAGCGCGCGTCATGTACTCTTGACGGTTGCGTTAAAATCTGGACCAGTCGGGTTGACAGTGTCGGCTCTGAAACTGCCAAATTAGCAAGTAATCTTGCATCTGGTCGAAGCGATGATGCGGAGGAATCGGGCCAAGAGGATACAGAGGAGGACCCGACGCAACCAAAGAAGAAGAAGCATCGGTCTGCTGCCACCCTCGTGAAGGACCCCTCCCAACTCAGGATCAAAAAACTAGAGCTGGAGTTCAGTGTAGATCCATTGTTTAAGAAGACCTGTGCCGATTTTGATGAGGGTGGTGCCCAAGGGCTTCTAATGAACCATCTCAGTCTTGGTGTAGGTAACGATGGCGGGCTGAGGGTTGTTTTTGACGCGGGTGATTCTGTAAGCAAAGGTGAGGATGATGAAGACGTAGATGAACCAGAGGATTTCATAGATCTGAGCTATCTTCGCAGTACGTTTTTAAATTACTTATTTATTCCCGCCTTGTGGCTGACCATTAGGTTAGAGGAATTCCTACCTGATCTTAATGCGCTGGAGTACAAGGAAATTTGTCACTCCCTTAAAGACTTTTCTTTTTCCAAGAAAACCTTTTCGTCTGCAGATACGACTTTCTACAAGGATAATCCACAAGCCGACTTCGATGACGATGATGAAGAATTTGGTCCAGCGGATAGCCTCGACATGGATATCGACAATTCAGAACAAGCCATTGAAGATTTCTTCCAAGGGGATGAAGCTCCAGCAGATGCTTACGCAGACGAATCGTTTGACGGCGATAACTTTGGAGGGGACGATTTTGGAGGCGGAGACGAGCACTCCAATGATTCTTACGGTGTTCCCGCTGACCACGACGGCAGTAGCACGGGAACTTATGCATCGTTTGATCCTCGTCAAGCTTCCAATGATCATAACCTTGTACTGGCCATGGGAGGTAATGTTGATGCCACCATGGAGTCCTTCGACAAGACGTTCAATACGAATTGGGCGGGTCCCGAGCACTGGAAGCTCCGGAGACTTTTCAAGAAACGTAAGCTTCATATGATCCTAACGAGAAGTTTTCATTCTGACGATTTAAGCAACAGCAGTGGAGGTAGATCCAACCAAAGGTCCCAAACCCCGCAGAGAGAAGAAGGAAGCGTTCAAGATCGATTTTCTGACACCACCAGACCCAAATATGGACCAGGAAGATATGAAGAAGGAGCTGTTTGCGCCAGCGGCCAGAGGCGCCGGTATCAACCTTGCAGGAACTAGTAGTGCTTCCCGAAAGAGCAAGAAGAAAGGGAAAGAAAACGAAAAACGCGATGATCATAGACTTCCTGACGACATGCACTTCACGAGCAAACAGCTAGTTTCCCTCTTTTTGAAGCCCAAGTTCTCGGTACGTCCTGCTGCCCACCTCGACTCTCGCTCTAAAAGTCTGTACAGCTCAAAATGCGGGGTCGTCGCTTTGACAACAATGAGGAGAGCGGAGAAGTTGACGAGAGATATTGGGCCCAAGCTGCCGCGGACCAAGCTGCCGGACGGGGAAGAATCAATGATGACCAAAGTAAGGAGTCCTTATCCATTTTGTCCAGTGTCTGACTAAATTACGAGCAGCTGAAAACGGAGGCGCGGTCCCATTCAACACGCAGTTCTTTAATGAAGATGACGACGATGACGTCCCGGTCTTCGGTTTCGATGATGCTTTCGAAGCTGATGGAATGGGCCTTCCAGCAGAAGGGGAAGACCTCTTAGCGGCAACTCAAGGTCAAACACGCCGTGTTAAGCCTGCCTTTGTGAACTATACCAAACGAGCGAAAAGAGTAGACGTGAGAAAGCTAAAGGAGAATATCTGGAAGGGCCTCGATATCGTAGTGTCTCATGGCGAAGCGGACGATGGAATGGTGTGTCTGTTTTTCAAAACATCTCGCCAGTTTTTAAATGTTCGTGTCGAAGGATGTTGATGAAGTGGCGTCAACTGATCCTGCGGAAGCTCGGGAATTCAGTTCCGTGCTATCGGGATTGCAAACCTCTTATCCCCAAGATAAGTTGCAGGAATTAAGTACAAGCTTCTGCTTCATCTGCCTTCTGCATCTTGCGAACGAGCAAGGGCTCAAGATCGAAAACGGAGAAAATTCAACGACCAGTGTAGAGGATACGGAAGGTGTCGGGAATATATGGAACCTAAAGGTGCGTGCTGTCGTCTTAACTGTATAGGACAGTGCTTATATCAAGATATCCAGGTGTTCAGAGACCCGACCGCTACGCTCTCGGCGTGACCTGACGGTATGACAGGGTTCGAAATATTTACTGGGGCGGCATTTCTTTTCGTAATAATGTATTGACTTTTTTTTCTTGATTTGTGTATTACAATCTATATGATATCATTCTCCGTATCTGCCAAAATCTGTTCTCTGTATATTACTACGTCCTGGGTTACTCAACATTTCATGACTAATCATCAGCTGCGGTACTATGCGGGAACTCCGTTTTCTAGTACAGTATCTAGGTAGCAAGGGACGTCGAAGCTCTGAATGTTCAATGTTCGCCCTATGACAACAGCCCCTTCGTCTTCCCCGCAGAATAGCCAAATCTCTCAGTTTTGTATCCTCAGTTATTGATCTTGCTTGAATGAGAGGCCTGCTCTCGCCTGCGCCTCGACCTCCAAAGCATCGACGCGGGCTTTGAAGGAGTTGTATAAGATAGAGCTGGGTGGTTCAGTTGGGCGAGGTACAGTGGGATCAAGCATTGGGAGTGGCCTGACGACATCCTTCTGCAGCTGCGAAGGCCGACGCCATACGACAAAATCCGTGGAAGACTTGGTGTCATCATATATGGGGAGGTCATCTAGGACGATGCTAGAAGACTCTTTGCCGTCTTCAATCGACGACTCGGATACCGTATGCTTGAGTCTTTTGGGAGAGCGCGGCAAGGATGGGGTCGGTGCAGTACCAGCACCCCAGAGAGATTTTCGCGGAGGTCCGTTTGCGACAGCGGGCACTAGCGTAGCTCCGATTGATGGCAGTGGTAATGGCAGGGGATCCGGAACGGATGATGGACGAAATATCCGCGATGAAGGCAAGAAAAGTTCGGAATGCAGATTCACCCTTTGACCTTCAAGAGCAGCGTGAGCACTGCGCAAGTGGTTTGTCAGATGTAAGATCCGTGTGAACCTGACTCCTTCACACTGTCGTAATGGGCAGATCAAGGCATGGAATGCTGACATGTGCGACACATCTATGTGTTCACGTATAGACTGCTCAGAGGTGTGAATGGGTGCACTGCACCGTGGTAATGGGCATTTGTATTGTCTGTGTTTGACACCCTATAAGGAAAACTGAGTAAATGAAAGGAAATGGATGTGTTTGTACTCACCGTCCCTCTATCCCGAACTGTTCTGCAAATACAATGTTTGAACTGATGCTGCAAACATCCAGTCAGTAGCATTGATCAAGATGCAAGACAAGTATGCTGCATAAAGAGTCTTAGATGCAACACCAGATTCGCACCTCACTCATAGCCTGCCAGCATGAAAGGACTGCACCACAATCCTTACCATGCAATACATAATCACACCTTAAACCATGTTGGCGTGTTGTCTTTGATATGTCAAGGTAGGCCTCAACTGTAAGCTCAACAGTTGAAGAGGTCATAACATAGACAATATAGTCATGCAAAGTGCATGGATATTCACAAATGACCCGAGTGAGTCTGGAATTTGCGTCTGTCCGATCGGGTAGGATAAGGGAGGGTGGGGACAGGAAGAGTTGACCTTTCGATAAATTTTTTGGGGGCCACGAAGCACGTGACGGTGACTCCGTCATGGTGTCGAATTTCGCGACTCCAGAAAAGTGCAATCATTGAGATAGTTGCAGTACTAAGTAACTATCATGAAAGAAAGGAGAAGCCCCAAATTGCTACTTAGTACCAAAGCTCAACGAACTCTTTCCATCATTAGCGTCCATTCACCGTAGCAGTAGAGTCTCTTCTCACAGTTGCGGGCCCTCCAGAAGAATGTCCATCTGAGTTCGGTGGTGTGTTGGGATGGTCGGGAATCTTGTCAATCTCTCTCTTCGCCTCTTCCCAGGCCTCAAGGTTCTGGAACGTAAAAATTTCCTTAGTTAAAATTCAAGCTCTTCGAAAAGCTCCACGGTACCTTCTTACACCAGTCACGATGGCTTCGTGCCATCGCTATGGCCATCTCCCTGAGGTCCGCAACTTTTTGCCGCTGGAACCTATCCAAGTCTGCCTGAATGGTAGAACTAGAGTACTTGAGATCCTGAGTAGAAAGATGTAGGGCGTCCTCAAGCTAGTATACCGAATTAAACGCAAAATCCTATGCAAGTTTCAAGTCGGCTTACCTGAGAGATGTTCTCCCGAGTCTTCGTAATGCTGTTGCGGCGAGCAGTCTCGGGGTCTGCGTCCATCATACCATGGATTGTATAGCTGAGAGCGTTCAGTAGTCCCATGCCGGGTGCTCGTGTCCTTCGCCGGGCAGGATTCGGGCCCGGATGGGGTGGGAGGTAACCGGAAGAAGGGTTATTCTCCTCTTCGCCAGACCTTGAGGTAGGATCAGTTTCATCCTCACCTGCGGTCGGACTAGAAGCCATAGAAGAACCATTGATGCGGCCCCGTCCAAGGGCCGCTTCTAGGCGTCGGGCCTCCCGCTCACTCTTCTCTAGTTCTTCAAGCTGTTCTCGCTTAGTCTCGAGAGCATCCTGAGTCATTTCGTATTGGACGTGCTTCTGGTGTCGATAAGCAAGAAGCTTCTTGATAATCAGTGCAAATTGAGAGTACTCGTGCAGGGGTTCCGCCCAGTTCTGCTCGAGTTCCTGAAGCTGCACCATATGTGAGCTTGAAAAAAGGCCAGTGCCAAATGAACCTACCAGCTTTGTGGTTGAAAGATAAGTAGCATCGACAGCTTGTCCAGTTTTCTCAATGGCACCCGAAAGCTCGCCACTTTCATTCAGACTGAAACCGTTCAGAGCCGCACCAAGCTCTGAATGATCTTGTCCGTAATCTGAAGACAAAATTAAGATCGTTAGTTCTGGGGCCACATTACAAGACGCACCTGACCATCGCTTGATGGTCCGACGTGTGACCTTCTCCATAGGGCCGCTCATATGTACAGAAAACTTGTTGGTAAATGCCTCGGAATCATGGAACCTCTGGTCCGGATGTCGCAGAGGATGGGCGGCTGACGGATTCGGAAGAGCGGCATAAGCAGGGGAGGCATTCTGATCAGTGGGATTGTGCGAAGGGGCCTTGAGGATATTCTTCGGAAGCAGCGACAGTGGTGGTGAGTTGAGAACCTCGGTCTATTAATAACAATGAGAAACAGCCCATTGTAAGATGGATGGTATGCAAACGCACCCACGAGACTTTGCCGTCCAAAAATCGATGGAAGACATGTTCATTGGATAGAATTGGGTGACGAGCCAAGCGGTTGAGAAATGTTTGAAGCATACGTTTTCTCCTTGCAATCAAAGCGGCATCCTCCTTAGCTTTTCCTTGTTTGATAGCGTAATCGCCTAACGTCTGCTTCGACGGTATAGGCGGAATTATGAGAGTAGGATAGAGTTTCGACAAGCTGATTCTCAGTGATTCAAATTCTGAATACCGATGGTGTGCTTGCGCATTCTGGAAGATCATTCGAGACGGGTTACGTCTGCATGTAGGTGTGAACTCACCCCGGTTTGAATGACATACGCAATATAAGGTGAGTTGGAGTTGATGGACGTCTTCACTGCGTCAGTTATCTTGGATAAGAAGATTATTTCAGGACAAAGGACCCCCTAGGACTTGAACACTAACGATTATCTCGACGTCGTCGCCAGAATGTAGGACACGGTCGCGAGTGCAGCAGAAGTCACTCTTGTAATTGGACTGCACCTGCCGACTTGAAGAAGGAAATGCAGACCCCTTGGCAGACGCAGACGAAGAAAATCTGCGCGACACATTGGAAGGCGGAGACGGCGGTTCTGATATGTCCACCTTAGATGTGGAAGAGGTCTCAGATGAAACACGGTCTGTACCCGTCTCGAATGGGTTCTCGTCGTCGAAGGCATCCATTGGTTCCAAATTCAACGTGTTTCGACGCTGTAGCTTGTTGAAAGAGACGTAAGGTGTCCGTGCGGCGTCGACGAGACAATCTTTGGTACGGTAAGCAAGAGCAGGAAGGGAAGTCTAGATGTCGGAGACAAGGATAGTAAAAGTTAGACAAGGCCGTTCAAGCGATGCTGCGCACTGGGAGGCTGTGAACAAGTCCGCGTCCTCCTCACAGGCAAAGGGATGCACTGGCAATCAATGTTTGGCCATGTTATATTGCGACTCGCTCCTAATTTCAAAACCAGAACTAATTTCCCCCCAGTACTCTATCCGAAAACTTTATCCAAAAACTCTGAATCCACCCTTTGAGATGCCTTCTGCGTCATGCTGTATCTCAATACCGTGATTTCCCCCTCCATGGCGGTCTAACGCATTTTCAAACCCTACGCCAAGAAGTGACCCAAAGAGCTCATCGATTTGCTGGTCATGCCATGCGCCATTGATAGTGACAGGTACCATGAAGTTTTGCAATTTCTCATGCACTTCGTATCTGAAAATTCGCCAGTCAGAGCGAACCGGAAATATGATAAAGTCATACCGTATTTTCCTCCCTTTACTTGCTTTCGTATCCACCTTCTTCTTCGCCTTCTTTTGTTTCTGCACTACCAGCCAGTCATCTGTTCCATTCTTCTCAGCATCTATCACATCTCTGAGCAACTGCTGATATAAATCTGTGTCGTCGAAGATTTCAGAGTCGTGTTCCTGCTCCTCTCCATTTTGACTATTGTCAAGCATTCTTCCCAGTCGTTCGGCCTTACTCCGCCATATCTGAGTTCTCGCGAGCATCTTGTTCGTGTCGGCCAAGTTGTCGTCAATCAGTTGAACGACTGTCTTGGAATTCTCAGAATTCTTCGAAAATGCATTGCGATTAGATGGGAGTAGGGCAGATGGCGCGACAGCCTGTATCTTAGAAGACCACTTGGAAAGAATCTGCAAAGCGTGAGGATGATACCTATCACATTTTCAGTTTGTGCGTCAGTTCAGATTAGCGGGGTGGATACTCACGCGTGCTCGGTGTCAGACGATACGTTGGTAGTTTCCCGTACGTATGCTTCATACTCCTGCAAGTCATCGTCAGACGAGAGTCTCCGTCGCTTGTGAGGTCTAAGGCTGATCGACTCCAGAGTAAACATTGTCTTGGAAAGAATAGGTCAATGACCGACGCATAATACTAGATGCCAACCTGTTGCAGATCAAAAAGTTCTTCGGATAACGACACTGCCTCCTGAAGCATTTTGGTTAATGAACCCTGGCTCCCAGCGAGCAACCCTTCGTCACTAGGCTGTTGACGTATGTTTAGAGGAAGTATTTGCGTATCAGTCGGACGGCATTACCAGGGGGAGTCTGTTGGCGGCGGTGATCGACTTTTGTAGACAGATTCGGGCATTCAATAAAGAATTCCATATAGACTGGATTACACAAATTAACATACTGGCATTGAGTTAAAGGATGATTCTCACCAATTGTTGGGCGACTGCAGCACCTTTTTTCCGATCTTGCTCCCGACCTCGCTTTAGTGTGGACGACAGATCATCCTGGTCGACGCGCCTTTGAGTGTCGGATCTAGATAATGAACTTTTCTCCTTGACCGTGTCGTCTCCGCCATCCAATTCCTCGATCTCGACCTCATCCTTGAGTATCTCGTCTCCCTCACCATCCTGGATAGAGTCCTCCTCCTCCTCACTCAGAGAGCTCTCTTCCATCATTTGTTTCCTGGAGGTCTGAACAGAGTCGTACTTTGGGTCCAGAATGCCATCCTGTTGCTGCCGCAACGAGCTCGGGCTGGTATCTTAATCAGAGCCATAGACTTTACAAGAGCCAGGCCACGCACCCTACATCCAGATAATGGTCCCTAGCTGCAGAGTTAATGTTCCGCTCGTCGTCGTCATCTTCTACGACGGGTTGAATGTCTTCGAGGTCAAAATCTGTTCCGATATTAATGGCTGGCAGAAGACACTGTCTTGGTGCCAAACACACCTGGGGCAGTAGCTTCCAGCTGGGCAATTTGTTGGGAAAGGGGAAGACCTTGGAGACTGAGCATGTGCTAACGAGCTTTGAAGAAAATAACTCACGGGAGGCAGCCATAATGGTCAATGCCAAAACAGAAAATTTTGCACTCGATCATCATTGATGACACATCAAACGCACGTACTGTCGGACATATCGCTGACAGTTCAAATATCCAAGTAATGATAACTTATATAAATAACACAAGATAGTAATCACCAAGAGTCCGATTCGAACCTCTCTAGGACTGAATTGGAGTCCTCTACATCCTTCTGTGCCTTTTTTCTCATGTAGAATATCGGGCAGTCTTTACTCGTGCACAACACATCCTGTTCCAATGTGAACGTTGCATTGTCGTCGGAAAGCATAGCACACACCTGATGAAGCGATCCTTGACAACGTTGGCACTGAGTCCAGAGCCGCGAGAAACGGACCTGCATCTCTGATGACGCCGAGACCTGTTTCTGATATAGTTCACCTATTCGAGGCCTGCAATTGTTGCAAACAGCACCGTCTGGAATGATATGAGATCCAGAAGAGGTGAAACATTACGAAAACACGAAAACATACTTGTTATGCTATTCGATTTTCGGAGTTGCGTCTTACATCCCAAGCAAGTCGCCGTTTTGACCGCGAATTTCATCAATCCACCTACAGTAGGCGTCGCAATCTGAATGGTTCTGGTGTGATCTCCGGATACTACAACAGAGAATGAGCCATAAACTGGGGGGGGGG